CACATGACCTCCTCGGAGACGCCATCTTTGATGGCACGCTGCTGTGTTTGTGCATTCCATTAAACAGAAGAATGAGAATAAATGTAGATATTCAAACACAAATTGGAAAAAAAGGGCAACTTTTGAGCAAATAATTGTATATTAATACAATGGCACCACAGTTTTACATATTTGATCAAATTATGCAGCAAAAATTAACAAGCAATGCAAACATTTCTCAAAAACTTTAGATTTAATACCAGTTGGAGCTCCATTTAATTATTTTAATTATATTAACAATTAATTTAATTAATGCTAATGCCACACGGACACTCTGGATTGCTGTTATTGTTTATTTCCGCGTTTTTGACCGTATGTTTTGGTGAATGGTGGGCAACTGATTTTTCCAGGCGTAAAGAGCAGTTTATTTTATGACACAGATCTTTTTACAGAAGCAATGCTGTTTGTGAACATTGTTTTAGCCCACCATAGAACTATTATTATCTATTTAATACATTTACGTTGCCCTCGAGAGCCTCGGACGCGACACCGATCCTCCTCATAATAAAGTAATCTAAATAATGAAACTCTCAAGTTACCAGATATCAGCATACACAAGTTAGTACTGAGTAAATTACGTCTGTCAACACATTATGAGATACGATACGCACCTGACACAAAGTGCTCCGAGCATATTCTTGCGTGTTTTGAGGGAGTTTCTTGCCTGTTTATCTTCGCAAGCCATAACCTCCGTGGTTGTTCTGACAAAAGCTTAGTCTTCTCACATTCATGAAGTCTAATGATGGGTATACTGTAAAATCCAAGTTTAACGGAACCTCCGGCACGATTTGAACATCCATTGACCCAGCAGGAGATGACCATTTTCAACTTTATCTTCTTTTCTATTGTTTTGCCCACAGAATGCCAACACAAATGGCGCCGGGTCGGCAAATCCCCGTATGTAGTGACGTCATGTAGGAACTATGTATTGACTCCAAATCAGGTCAGGATCATAGTCCTCCACTAGCTGCAGGGGGTACACCTCTTCTTTTATCATTAAAATGTTGTAAGTATTTTTAATGATTTTTTATATGTAAATATTAGACCAGCGTACATGTCTTCGCGTGTTTACCGTACTGTGTGTAGTAGGGGTGCACTAAAATGTTGGAGCGGCTTTCGAGTCGCTCTGAACCCAGAGAGAAGGAGAGGTGTACCGAGAGGGAATGACCGTTGAATATCTGTCGGATATCCAACTTCAAACTAACTTCACCGCGGTTTAAAACAATCTGTAAACATATTTATATCTGTAACAGTTACCAGGGCCGGAGTGGGACAACATTTCAGGCCGGGAGCTTTTCATCCATTCAGGCCAAACAAGGTTCTAAATTTGGGTTTTTGTCATTGTATTTTGATGTTCTTTTAATAGTTTTAAGATTGACTGTCAAAACTTTTGTTTTCTTTATTTTTTTTTATATTGACTGTTTATATAATCTCGGACGTTTAAGGATTGTTGTACGTTGCTTAGCAACGTAACGTTTATGGAGTTTAGTGAGAATAAAGACACACACACACACACAATGAACTAAGTGTTCATTAGTGTATAACTATAACAAGCTAATCAATTATTGTTAAAAAAGTAGTAAGGTAAAATCACATCGTTACAGCTCATATAAAAGGAAAAATAAAAACGTGTATGAACCATCAGTTGGAGAGACCACTCATTTCAACCGGGGAAGCTACACTGGGTGCACTGCTAGGCTGGCCTGGCTGTGTAGCCGACGTGTGACGTCACATTTGTTTAATTTTGCTCTGGCCCAATGACAGTAAAGCTTTAGCCAGTGTTGTGCCAGTTCACAGCTTTTCTGAACTAGTTCAAGTTCAGTTCATACATGCTCAAAGTGAACAGTTCACGTTCGAAGTTCTCAATTTTAATTCTGAACTAGTTCAAAGTTCAGTTCATTTTACTTTTTGCGAGATATTCCAAATAAATACTTTTTTTCACTACGAGCTATATATATATATATATATATATATATAATTATATATTATATCCTGTACACTGCACAGGATGTTTTGACTCCAATGCAGACAAGATTTACATGGGTTTCAATGGGAACTGAGTTGTCCCATCTCTGCTCATAAGTACAAACTGTAATGCGCTGCAGAACGTGTGTCTATACTTTATGTCAAATGTAAACGGCCCTGTGTCACTGACTTACCCTTGTGTTTTCATCACGGCACATGTGAGTCCAACAACCAATGAATAGCACTAGCATATAGCGCCGCACCGCGAGTACACTGAGTCGGGGTGCGTTCACAGACGGTGGAAACCGTAGGAATTTTTAGTTTTCGGCGGAAACAGTGCGGAGAATACAGGAGGGAGGAACTTTCTCTCGTTGCGTTTCAAAAGAGAAAACAGATTTCACTCAGTTTTAAATGGAAAACAAATTGTCTGCCGTTCATGACACATAATATGAACTAATTCACGCTCAAGTTCTTTATTAAAAAATGTGTTGCGTTCAGTTCAACGTTCACGAAAAAATGAGCGTGTTCAATGAACGCGTTCTTTTGAACTCGTTCACGCACAACACTTGGCCTGGGCCTTGCTCATTGGACCAGGCCACCAGGCAGGGTAGGAGTTTGCAAAGACCGTGAGGATGAAATTAAAATTAAAAAAAACAAAAAAAAGAAAAAAAAAAAAGACCGTGATGATAGGGCCACTTTGACACGCAGGCCACCGGGAGATCTCCCGATGCTCCCGATGGCCAGTCCGGGCCAGACAGTTACCATGGCGGCGCATGAACATGCTGCGGCTTCTCTCTCTCTTGACAAGGTGACGTTTCTACCCTTTTCTGCAAACTGCATTTGCAGTTTTTGTGATCCGCATTGTTTTGCAAGATGTTGTTGTACATCTTTGCCATGTTTTTGTGGAGTTCAGCGGATTTTTTTTGTCTGCCAAAGCTCTTTGCTAGCAATGAACAGAGGATGTGTTTTTAAAAGTAAACACACAGTTAGCATCTGAGCTAAAGGCTTTTTGAGCAGTATTTAAGACCTACAAATCCAGAGATATCATCTTCTGAAGCGCTGACAGGTCACCGAGGGCCCCACACATCTGCAGCACAGTGGAGGCGTCACAAGAGGCGCTACAGGAGTCCCTACAGGAGTCCCGGCCTCCGTTGTGTGCAACTTCTACAGAGGGACTGTAGAGAGCTTCCTGACCAGCTCCATCACTGGGTGGCACGGCACCAACACTGCCTCCTGCCGAAGGAGCCTCCAGCGCATCGTGAGAGCAGCAGAGAAGATCTGTGGAGCCCCTCTCCCCACCATTAAGGACATGTACTCCACCCGTCTCACCCGCAAAGCCGTCAGAATCACCAGGGACCCTACGCACCCATCACACAGGCTCTTCAGGGTAATGCCTTCAGGGAGGAGACTGCAGAATTTACGGAACAGTTCCAGTCGACTTAAAAACAGTTTCATTCAAGGCCATCAGGAAGCTGAACCCTCTTCCCCCACCCCCCGCTCCACAATCAAGGATGAGAGAAATATAATTTCAAACCATTCACTTGGTTTGACACCCTTGTGATTGCTCCTGATGACCTTATCCCAGGGATAAACCAGTATTTGGGAGATCTCAGTCAGTCCGCTGCACAGAGTCTCAGGAACCTTGGTGTGATTTTTGACAAAAACATGTCATTAGATCACCACTCTAAACAGCTTAGTAGAAATTGTTTCTTTCAGTTGAGGAACATCTCTAAACTGAGGAAAATTGTGTCACGTAATGATTTGGAGCTCATTATTCATGCTTTTGTGTCGTCACGTTTAGACTATTGCAACAGTTTATTTTTGTGTCTAAACAAAAAAGAGCTGTCTCGTCTCCAAATGGTTCAAAACTCTGCAGCGAGGATTTTAACTTGCACTAATAGAAGGGCTCATATTACCCCAATTCTTAAAGCCCTCCACTGGCTGCCGGTGTCTTACCGGTTTCAATTTAAAATCTTGGTGCTGACTTTTAGATCCTTATATGGTCAGACGCCTTCTTACATCAGAGATCTGATTCAGCCCTATGTCCCCTCTCGTTCTCTGAGGTCTGCAGATAAAAATCTCTTGATGGTTCCTCGCACTCGTTATCAAACCAGAGGAGACCGATCCTTCCAGGCTGTCGCACCTAGACTCTGGAACGATCTCCCGCTCTCTCTACGATCACTTGACTCTGTTGATACATTTAAATCCCAACTCAAGACGTTCTTGTTCAGTCGAGCGTTTTGAAAGTACGGTTTTATGGGCTGATATGACTGTCTCCACTGTTGTTTGATTGTGTAATTTTTTCTTGTGTTTTTAATTATTGCTTGTTTTTGATGTGAAGCACTTTGTGACCTTCTGTCTGAGAAAGGTGCTATATAAATAAACTTTGCTTGCTTGCTTGCTTGACAAATAAAAATCTTGAAAAATTGAAAAATAACATATTTATTTAGCCTGTGAAGTAGTGAGTGTGGAGATCATGTGTGACATTTATTCTTATGGGATCAGTTTATTGACATTTCAACACACATGTACAACTATTGAATTATAAATATGAAAAAATATATACATCAAGACCTTAACAAACCATTCAAAGTAAGTCTAGGTGCATTAATTCCCTAAACGTTGGTTCCTGACTGACCCATGGGTAACTCTTTCATTCACACCGGATATAATAAAGTGGTTTAGGTTTGCTCAAAAGAACTGATCCTAACATATTTAAAGCCCGCTTTAAATTATTCATCCAGAATTTTGAATCAGGCAGAATAAGCTGTATGATAAATACTAGTCAGTGCCTTGATGAATGTAAACTGAATGGTATACACTCAAAATAACACAATATAATAAAATTAGAAGAACAACTAAAATGGAAGGTCACATGATTTGATGAAATAAAAATGTTCCTATAAGAAGTACCGTACAGTGTATGAGGTTCCCATATAATAATTTTAGTTTGTAGTGCAGATCCTATTAATCGGTAAAATCCATGGATCAGGGTCTCAAGACATTTCTTGCTGTAAATCAAAACAGACAAAAACATGAAACTCAGAAGAACAAATGTGAGTTTAAATGTATTTGGCCCATAGCCTCATACCATCATCTTGCTGTAGATCCATGGGAGAACACTGGTCACTCTAGTGTAGACACCGGGTCTATTCCTATCGCCACAACCTGATCCCCAACTTGTAATTCCAGCCAAAGTCCAAACCCCATTATTTTCACACACCAAAGGCCCACCACTGTCACCCTATAAAGAAGAATAAAAACACGTAAAACTTTAATGCGTAATATCTCTGCGTCTCATTGTAATGAATAGTAGTTTGCAAAAGTTTTACCGCTATTCTTGAAAAGTTGATTATGTTATCTAAAGCATCTCTCAGTTTTTATTGAAATCTCTAGAGTTTCATCTCTCTCATGTGGACGAGTCTGAGATTTATTCCACTGCTCACCTGGCAGGAGTCTTTTCCTCCCTCCATGTGTCCCGCACACAGCATGTACTTAGTGACACTCCCACTGTAGGATCCAGGAGTGTTGCACACGTCTGTGTCAATGATCTTCACATTTACATCCCTTAGATTATTTGTGGCAGAATCTGTTCAGGAGACACATTGATAGTGTGCTCTACACTTATGAACAATAATTATCATAATGTAGATCAGGCATACTTGATGATGCAACTGTCGTGCCAAATCCTGAGGTAAAGCATTCAGTTCCATGTTGCCACTGTTGATCGTGGGAGGGCAGACAGGCCGGGTGGACTTTGTCTGCAAGGTTTACAAGCGACACTTTTAATAACATAGCAGTCAAAAGCATGACAAAAAACTGCTAAATAATTTAGATTGCTTATTTAGTTAGTAACAGAGGTAGCGGACCATCAAAGTTCAACGGCATTGCAAGCTTGATCAGAGCAATGTCCTGATCGTTGGTAGAGTTGTCATAGTCCTCACTGAGTATTATCTTGGTGACTTCATATGGTTGTTGAAGAGCATCGAGGGACACCACTCCACCATAGACTTTCCACTTGCTCGCAACTGGACTGGGCTCAGTTCTGTAATGAAACAGTAGTTAGAGAGAGGTTGAAGTAATCAGTAAATCATAAGTCATAACATATGTCTATTCACCCCAAGAAACAGTGAGCAGCAGTCAGCACAAAATTCCGAGAAATAAGAACTCCTCCACAAACATGTGAGTTTTGGTAACGCAGAGAGACTTGCCAGGGCCACTCGCCTGGTTTAGACAGTTCTCCGCCTATGATCCGTGCAACAGACTTCTGCTGACCACACTCTGAAAACAATAATAGATATCAAAAAGAGGTATGCATATATTTCATCACATCAAACATGAACTAAACACAAAAAGTGCGTAATTCAATTTCAGCAGAGTGAGCAAAGGTATGCACACTGTGATAACGTGGTCTCACTCAAGAGCACTTTGACTCCACTCATGTCTCCATTGAGGAAAACACAAAAACATGTAGACAGGGCGCCTCTACTATTGCAACATAGTGAGTAAGCATACCATTTTGAATTTTGTACTAAAAGTGTTAGGATATTCTGAAGTTCATGCTCCCATTTATGAACTTCAGTTTGTCCAATAGATCCACCGTCTTTGGTCGTCAAGGTTTAAACCTTTTTGTATCTGCCTTAGGATATTAGATGACACTTAGCAATTGAACGAATTCCAGTGCATTTATAATAATAATAATGCATCGGTTTTATATAGTGCTTTTCTGGACACTCAAAGACGCTTCACATGTCATTATTCATTCACTCCATACACGGTGGTGATAAACTACTACTGTAGCCACAGCTGCCCTGGGGCACACTGACAGAAGCGAGGCAACCAGTCTGTGCCATCGGCCCCTCCGACCACCACCAACCATTCACACACACACCAGACTCATTCTAGGCAATGGGGGTGAAGTGTCGTGCCTAAGGACACAACGACAGCAGACAGTGGGAGTCGATGGTGAAAGTCGGGCTCAAACCCACAACCCTCTGGCTCAAAGGCCAATGCTCTACCAACTGAGCTACTCTCTTTAAAGCTGTTTGCCAACACAATGATGATGGTATTAGGTACTAATTCAAATAAATAAAAGTGGAGTCTTCTTACCTATACACTGCAGGGAGACAGTCTGTTCGTCTGGACACTCAGGACTATAAATAGATGAGCCATGATTACAAAACAATTAGACATCATACACTCCAATAATATTCTTAGAAATAAAATGAACACATACATGACACTGGCTGAACCCTGGATAAACTGATTGGTCCCCCATGAGGTGATCGTAAGACCCTTTGATGTGTACCCTGATTGAATTTTGGTCTCATAAGAGCTGGAAAGAAAAACGCAATTTTACATATGATAAATTAAATAAATTATTGGTAAAATACATTCCTTAAAACATGAAATACACGCAAAAGTGAATTAGACATTCACCTTTGAAAACCAAGCTGTGCACAGGTCTGATCAGAATAAGCTTTGACCCAGTTACTGGAGCAAACTGGTAAGAAACGGCCATCCTCCGCTGTTTTGACCTGGAGTCTGTTGCCAGTAAGAAGTCTGACTAAAAACGTTCAGATTAAAATAAATTCATCTGTGATGTGGAAAGTGTAACTACAAAAAACAACAACAATAACAAACATATATTTTCCATAAAAATACATTATTACTTACTACATATAGATTCATCAGTGCCATAAACACAATCCTTTATGCCGTCACAGTTGACAGTGGTGTTGGGGCAAATGTCATGTGTTGGTATAGAGACTGAATTGTCATCGTCATATTCAGAATATAAATCTTCTGTATGGTTGTATATTGATGCTATCGTAGTGCCATACCGTACTGCAATAGGAATTAAAAGACAATTTGTTAACACAAGTATATATTAGCTTTGGCAACATCAAGGTAATTTCAAGTAAAATACGGAATTCATTAAAACCAAATTACCACAAACTTGTTCCTGAAGTTTCAACTTTTTTTCAACATTTTTTATCCAGAATGTGTGCATAACTGTATGTGTGCAATGATGGGATGTGTACAATATGGGGTAAATGCAATACCGGGGTGTGTGTGCAATGATGTGGACTCTTGGTGGATTATGAAGGCATGGACTGTGGGTTGTGCAGGAATGCAAACTATATTTGAATGTATGTTTTTTTTCTCTGTATTTAACCCATTGTGACCCTAACCCCAAGGGGCAGCAGATGGAAATTAACCATTTGTCAAAAATCTGGCATGTTTACATAAATGTTTTTAATATGTATGTATATTGATATGCACTGTCTCAAATAAATAAACAAAAGTTGGCATATGATATATGTTTGCATTGAAATTACCTCCAAGCCATATGGCCAGTGCCAGGAGACCGAGCACCAGTAGAATTCCCCCAGTTCCTCCATAACACTGAGCATTGTTCCTACAGCGGCTTCTTTTTGGAGCTAAGAAGATAAATCCAATGTGAATGATTACACTTTAACAACAGCTATCTTAAGAAAAAGTACTTACGCAATGGTTGAGAGACCTGAGGCACAATCACAACAGGTGGATACTGTGGTATGTAGTGGGGCTGAGAGGGAGGTGTTAAACCATACACCAGATCTCCATGGGCACTGGGGGGGAGCGGGGGATATATGGATGGGAAATAAGGAGGAGGGAGGTCATTCTGAAAGACAAAAGTGCAAATAGATAGAAAACACAGCCATATAAATATGAAAGTACATTAAACATTTCTAACTAACTAACATTTCTAAACAACTACCTAACAATAGTGCATATTTTTAACTCATCTGTATTAAGGATCTCTTAAAACGTTCCGTTCGGCAGCGCAGTGATATAAGCCTGTTGCTACGATTACTCCTGTGAGCGGCCATAGTGTCATGCAGAGGGTGTCTGGAGTTACCCAGGATGCCCTGCAGTAGAGCCCTCGTCCTTCTCTCCAGCACAGCACCCACAGAGTCCACACTTTTCCCCATCACAAAGACACATTTCCTGATCAGCCTGTCGAGCCGGTTACTGTCTTTCGAGGTCAGACTGCCGCCCCAACACGCGCCCCCAAAGAACACGGCAATAGCTACAACAAACTGGTAAAATATGAGCAACATCTGACTGGTCACATCAAAGGACCTCAGTCTTCTCAGGACGAAGAGTCTACTATACAAAAATATTAAACCTTTTGAAAATAGAGTGAATATTTCCTTGTTTAATTTAACTAGCGTTTTATTCCAAGTTATAAACTGTCTCACATATCATCATATCATATCAAGCTTCTAAAATATAGATATATATAGTATCTATAATTGTCAGACATTTTCAATGACCTATCTAATGAGTTTAAACTGGTTTGCTCACTTTGCAAACACATACCAATTGCAGTCCTTGTATCATCATTTAGATGAAGTTATGTGCCTGAACTGGTCTGTGAACATTTGGTTTTAGTTCTTTCGGTTCTCCACTCATATTAGAAGAACAATGTTTAATTTCTATTCTTAATGTTAAGAATTGTATAGTTTATGTGATACCATGCAGAAAGTAATATTGTGTTTGTATCCAGTTTTGTGGTTAATTTTACAGTAAGACACATGATACTTTTGACCCGTTTTCAAAAAAGAGAAAAGTGAAGAAATCTATTGTCCATATAACAAAAGGAATTTATCTGTTCGGATGGCACAGAAAGGGCTTCAAACTACCCTGGTTTTCTTTCAGAATATCCCCATTGGCGCTACCGCCCCTTCACTGCAGGTAAAATAGGTATAGTTGATCATATTTCACTGTAGAATGCATTTGGATTCGTTTTCATAGTCTGCCTGTCAGCCATTATAATGGAAAAGTACAGTAAAATTAAGAGGTTATATGACATTCAAAAGGTCAATTGGCTTTGTCATATAAAATAATAGGTTTCTTCATTAACAATGCTAAAAAAACATTGGACCAAATTCTCTGATCTGTGTTGGCAAATTCATCTATTTTTTAAGTCCTTCGTGATATCTACTGTTGTGATTTAGGGCTATAAAAAAAAAAGATTGAATTGGTTACAGATATTAAGATTCAATACATTACAAATTATTCAATCAAATGTTAGTTCATAAATACAGATCAAACTTTATACATTAAACATTTTGGACATAACAGTGACTTGAATTTGCGAGGTAGAGATAAAAGCTCAATTTAAAGAGTGAAAAACCCAACACCTTACCTGGTCATTCTTTGCCATGGGACAGCAGAGGAGGGCAGTGGAAGGAGCAGTCTTCTACATACACTGGATCAGAAGCTGGGTCATGCTGGCACTAGGGCTGGCCACTCCACACTCTTATGTCCTCTGCACTCATCCACAGTCACCAACTCAAGCATCAGCAGGTGCCTCTTGCCCCTCCTCCTTCACCATAAAACCCCTCCCCCTCCATCCTCTCTCATTCTTCATTCTTCTCCTCACAGTGATGGGTGTGTCCTGTAAGTTTCCCACCTGTCTGACTGGTTCCTTGTATAACCAATAGATGGACGAGGTCAGTTTCATCGCAAATGCTCAAATAACACCAGCTGGGCTCCTGGGCAAACACAGAACAGAAACAGTGATATCAAATTCTATAGTTCAAGTTTGACTTTTAACCTATAGGCAAACAATATCACACAGTGGCAACAAGTTGAAGGCGTCACAGTCCAGTGGGAGTGGTTTTGATGAGAAATATGTGACAAATTCACTTTACTCCTTCAATCTGTAAATGAAATACTGTAATATAGCCAGTTAAAAAGTTTGTCACGCTTAAGTCACATTAAATGCAACTCACATTAGAACAGTCGAACTGAGAAGTCTGATTATTCTCCCAAACCCAGGTCCCCCCTGCAGCACAACACAGAAATAGGAAAACATATTGCAGTAAGTAGTCTTACAATTTTGTGGAATTAGGCCTGGGTGCTGACTGGCATAGGGCCTGTTGCTTTAATAATGGTGAATGCAAGATGTCGCAGAGAGTGACCAATTTGGTTCACGTATTTGTCATTACTATCAATTACTATTATTATTATTATTATTACTATAAGTCAACACAAGAAATACAACACAAACCGGAAGTCCATCATTTGAAAAGAACAAACCAGTCTCATTGTTTGACTAACAGAGCTCAACATCGTCTAAACAAGTGGAAATTAAAAGTTGGCTTCATATTTAAATGTATTTAGTGTTTCTCCCATCAGGGTTGTATGAAGATGCAGCGTCAGCATTCGCCCCTTTGCATGGTACGGCCATAGCTGCTAGACGCCACTTGCGGCTTCACTTGACTCCACACACACTCTGCTGGGAGACAACATGTGTATTTCAGAACATGTAAAACACACGTTTTGAAAAGGGGTTAGATGAAGGAAAAGCTTATAAACTTCCAAGTAACCCCCATCACTCAGGATGGCAATAAAATAACAATGCCAGATCCAAGAACACTACAAAAAAAAGAGCAGAAAAGTATCACAATACATAGTTACTTACTTATGTATCTATAGGTTAATGTGATAATGTCTTGTCGCTTTTAAAGTATCATCAATTGATTCCCTGAGACTGAGAATGTGGTTTTATCAGTGATAGCAAGTCACCATAAAATTCCCACTAAGGTTCAAATCTGAAAATAATGAACCTGAATGTCCACTAGAGAGCAGTGTTAGACATGGTTTTCTTATTAAACACTTTCCTTCAGACAGATTACCACATAACAGAAGTAAATGGCAGGTTCAAGGAGAGAAAGCAAAAGTGACAGAAGGTTAAACTATACAGACATAGAATGTGATGAGGGCACCACAAGTTAAGTCACGCTGATTTTGCATTTTGGTCAATGCAAAAAAATCTGGGACTTATGCAAAATAGGAGCGACATAATCATTTGTGTTTTGTTTTGTAACTTGTGCTCCATACCATATATATGGTCATGAGCAATACACAGACAAAGAAATAATAAGGGATTAAGTGTGCACTAATGAATGTGTTGGGGGGACAGTCACTGCTGTGTCCAAGAAAATATATAATGGCAAAAAAAGTAAATAAGTATTTTTACACCACAGTTTCTTCAATCTGTGACTTCACACAAAAGGTCATAACAATAAAAGTGGCCAATGCTGGTCTAGCCTTATTTTATGACTAAATGGTAAATACAGTGGCTAACATTATATTGCGTTTATCATTATAATGAATAAAATGATATTTAACGGGTTTAATCGTATTATTATTATCATTATTATTATCTTTAACCCTTCAAAGCTAATGAGTTTTGTTTTTAAATGAAACCCAGGCTTTTGTGGCAAGTTGTATGACATCATAAGATTTGTGTTCGTTGACGTTGGGGAAAAAACACAAAAGAGGAAGAAGAGACAAGACAGAGCATGTCACTAACAGGAAATGTATCAGATCAGAGGGGAGGGAAAGGAAAGTAAGATGAGTAATGTTTATAATAACCAAAAAATAGTGCAGATCCAGTACATCTTTATGGGACTAGCTCTGACAAACACTGTCCAAGATGGATCTGAGCAGAACGACTGCATTCCTGCTCTTCATGGTGGCCTGTGTGAGCTGTGTTACAGGTACAGGTTTTCAGTTTGATAAAATGTATTTAATCAAATGCTGTGCTGTGTAGTTGGCTTAATATGCACAGTTGTGATAAATTATAGAAGATAGTTAAAATGCTATATATACACACACATATTTCAGGTTTTAGATTCAGGAACTTGTGTGCCTTTAATGGATATGAATATGTCACAATGTCAGTTACTTTCCTGATCTGCCATTTCTGCCAAAGGCTTAGCACAGAAAGCACGTCAAGATTTAAAGGAACAACACTTCTATTGTAACTCTAACTGTTAATTTGTAATTTCTCAACAGGTGAAAAATTGCCTACACCAGAGAATTTGCAAGTGAATATTTTGGATGGAGAAGTTATTGTACTCTGGAACAAACCTACTGGTGCCTCCTCTGATGTGCTGTACAATGTTCAGTTTGGACAGTAAGTTGAGCCATTAAAAGAAGAAATACTGCTTTTTTAAATGACACCTGTATTTATCAACTGTTTTTTTGTCCATTAGCTATGCAGGAGAGTGGAAACCTGTCAAGAAGTGCACAAACATATCTAAAACTTTTTGTGACCTTAGCAACTTAATAGAAGATTATCTGGGAAGCTACAAAGTGCGAGTGCAGTTGGAGGAAAGCGGCGTCCACTCCGAGTGGACACCCAAAAAGAAAATCCTTCCTAATTTAAGTAAGAGTCATGTTACATCCTGGTTCAAGTTAAAGGGTTTTACATGTTTATTTCTGAAAATGGTAAAATTGTACGTTTGGTTGATGACAGGTGAGTTGCAGCCCCCTTCTTTCACTATGTGGGCTACTTCGAGCACGCTTACCATCAACATTCACAAAAAGCCTGTTCTGAGAAAGATTTTTCTATTTGGGATCACATATACTATCTATTTGGTAGAGAAACAACAAAATAAGGTAAAACACAAACATTTTAAACTTCTGACAACGTACTATCTAGCAGGTCTCCCTTCATCTTCTCTTGTCATTTCAGTCCACAATTTCATATCTCAAAGACGACATTTGGGACCACCCAAAGAACAAAGTGTTTCACTCTTTGCACTGGGGAAAGGAATACTGTGTCACCATCAAAGTGGAGGGAAATACAGGAATGGCCAGTAGTGTGTCACCCCAACAATGTGTTCTATTACCAGAGCAAGGTGACGATTTGTTTTTAAACATCATTTTGAGAAATGTTTCCTTTTACACAGTATCTTTATGAAAAGAGCCAACAAAGTATGTATTATAAATATTGGTTATTTTACAGAATGGATCATAATTGCAGTTACATCACTGACTGTGGTGGGCATTATGATTATAACTGCATTTATCAGCGCTTTCATATTCTGTTATGTAAAACGGCCAGTGAAGACGCCTGCTGCCCTTGTGAGTATGAAGCAAAATGAAATGCAGAACTTGTGGTAATCTTGTATAATCTAAAATGACAAATCTACAACTGCTGAAACTACATCATGATACTGAAACTGTGCTTTTTCTCAGAAATCACCGGCTAACTTTTGGCGTCCACTATCCATCAGAGAGGTCACTGTGGAAGTCGTTACAGACAAGGGTTGGTTCATGTCCAGTGCCAGAACAGAATGGAATAGTGTTTTCCTCAATCTGCCTACAACTTTTATGATGGATCAGCAAAATACTGAAGAGGAGAGAAGGCCGAGCACCGACAGCGGGGTCAGCATGAAGTCCCCCTCAGATGGCAGGCGAGAAGACAGCGGATGTGGCAGCGTAGGGGGGCAAGACGCTATGTGCAATTACCCCACTCAGCATGATCGAAGTGATGGAAAGTCGCTGGACAGTGGGCTAGGACTCAAATGCCACTCTGATACCTCCTCACTAATTATTGATGATCAAGACAGTGAATGTTTAAACAAGTCTGGAAAGTATGACAAACTACAAACTGTAAACAGTCGTGACAATGACCATGACCATATTTTTAAGGAAAGGCTTCCAGAACCACTAATCAGTGTGGTGTCAGGATACAGAAAAAACACCTCCATTTGTACCTGTTCAGGAGCCAATCTGTGCATTTGGTGCCATAATCAAGAGGACAACAAAGGACAGAATATTCTTCAAAATAACAACAATGTGGAATCATACAGACATCATTCCCCTAACATCCAAATGTACAGGGAAAAAACACACATGACTTTAGTTCAAATGGAGGAAACTTTCCCAATGTTGACTTCTCTATCATCGCTCCCTCTCATGGAAAAGGGGCGGGACTTTAACATGGACGACGTGTCAATCTCCCTGTGTGATGTCGAGCTTAATCACCACTGACGTTACAAGGAGTTGTCAGTACTGATAATCATTGTTCACTTTCTCGATGAGTGGACGCGTGCTTTTAACTTTTAATAATGAAAGAGAGAGGTAACGCAGAGTACAGAGATTTGACTTTATCAGGCATCACCATTTCTCTTGAAAAAGAACTAACAAGCAGTGGACATGCAGGGAAACTCTAAGCCTACGTGCACTTTGATGTGTTTCTCACTAACTGCCCACACAAACAGACTCTCACATACTTTATAGGAGCTTACATTACCATTGTGCAGCTAACAGGTCCTATGAGTCATTTATTGTTATTTATATTTTATTTAAATGTTTTCTTTGGTAATAAAACTAAAATGTGACCATTTGTACATGCTTCACGATAACAAATAGAAAAATGCATGCACAAACCCGTTATTAGTATGCACACAGAAACCACACATGCAAATACCGTAGTGTTGGTTTCATACAAAAGTCAGTACTTCCGCTGCACAGAACAATACCAAGTTGGTAACAAACTACATCTGATGTTCCCAGCGTCAATATTATGCAACACTGGTTTTGAGAAAGGCTAAAAGGGAAGTGAGACAATGAAGCCAAATGAAGCCACTTCATGGGGGGATTCCACAGCTTAAAAATATGACAAGTGCCACAGCCCCACACAACTAATAGATAAGTGGTACTTACATGGGGTTGGTAGATACAAAGAGTGCTCCATCACAATCTATGAATCTTAAATAGTTGAATTTAAAAAGTATATTTATAAATATAAAATAAAAGCCTACTTTTAATTATAAAGGAGTGACTCTCTCCCCTGAGGCAAAAGAAGATTCATGACAATAAGAATCTCAACATATAGTCACAAATGGCTGCAAGTAAGAGTAGTGTTACTAAAAATCTACACCATGACACATACAATCTGGTTCATGATTTCAATGATCATGAAAAAATAAAACAAACACTTGAAAGAAGAGACAAGAAAAAAATGAAAAACATACCCAAAGAGGCTGTTTAAATAATTTAATATTGTCGAGATAAGACAAGTTACTAGAGCCACTGGAAAGGGTAACGAAAGTCTTTACACACGTTTTGTGTCAGAAAAAAACTTGCATAATGCATCTTTGTTCCCCTATAGCCGGCCCGACATCCATTCATGTTAGACTTATATTTACAAATGTCCAACAAGGATTTTCAGAGGAAAGTACAGTATCTTTCATAAAAAGAAAATGGTATTGGCATAAAAAACTAGACAGCAGCATTGTACAATAATAAGTAGTGCAAAACAAGTGTTTTTCTACAGAGTTCTATTTAATGTAATTGGTGATCGAGAAGGGAGGCGGAGACTTCTGTAGGCCAACTTTGCTATTGGATGAGATCAGAGTATTAGTTGATTGAAATGAATGAAAAAATATAATATCTAAACTATATAATAAAAGAAAAACATTGCATTGCAAACCTTTTAGGGCCAAACCTGAAACTAATTCCCAGATTGTTCAATGCCCTCGTAATAACAGAGAATGTTCTGGATCGCTTATAATATAGACCAGGCACGTGTGTGGCCCCTGACATGACATCATGAGGCTCACTACTGCTTCTTTACAAAACACCTGACACAAAGCTACAGTTAAGGTTGTTCACATATAGTTAAAAATACTGCTTTGAACAGTTCCAGTGGGAACGGATCATTAGGACTGAAAGAAGGTTTAAGATCACAGACCACTTAGAAACTGGCTCAGGGGATATTCTCGAATAAGACTATTTTATTTTAAGATTTTAACTGCAATTATCAGAACCGTTGGAACGGGTTCTAAGGAACTTAAATGACCCTTGAGTCTACAGCTGACGCTGGTGATCGCTTTCTGGGCTTTTTAAACAATTTAGGAGTAATATTCAGATGTCTGTGTGAACTTGAGCCAGTTTCTAAGTGGTCTGTGATCTTAAACCTTCTTTCAGTCCTAATGATCCGTTCCCACTGTCCTGTTTTTTAGAGTTTTGTCATGGTGGGATTTTCTGAAGGTTATTAAGAGGTTATTGAAGAATCAATTGAACATTTCTTATTTGGGAATCAGTTCCAGGTTAGAATCTTATTTCCTGGATTCAGGTATACTCACGTGAGCACTCTCTCCTTTAGCGGTGGCTCTGATAAAAAAATAAAAATCATATTTTGGTTCAGTTAATGGATAAATAGAGGCATCTTCTGTTTATAAGTTACTTACTCTTTTTCTTGCAGCAATTTTTACAGTTTTTGAATTTATGTTTGCAGCAGAACTGGGCAAAGGCGATGGCGAAAAGAACAATGAGAATACCAAAACCCACTACAACTCCAACAGCCGTGGAGTTTGCCTGGCTTCCTGCAAACATAATGGGATTTGTGAACTGACGCAGAACAGGGTAATAAAGTATTATTGTTATAGACATTATCACAGCCTTATAAAATCATAAAAAACTTTTTGTATGAAAAGCGCTTAATAAATAACATTTGATGGATTGATGTGTTTCTCTACTTTCTGATGGATGATGATCAGCTATGAAATACATATTTGTATAAACTATTGAAAATGTTTAGCTTGCTTAATTATATTGGACCATACTAATTATTCTGTAAACAGACAACAATATCATTGTTAGCATTTTTTGGTAAATAATAAATTGACTCAAAAGCAAAGCTCGTACATGGTACAGTGCTAAATAATAAGTAAATGCAAATACATGTCACTCACCATTATTTCCCATGGCTCACAAGGCAACCACTGAGGATTTTGGCTCTCTTACTCCTTAAATGGTTTTATTTGAAAAAAGTAAAGAAACAAATCTAAAGGCTCTTTCCTTTACCTTGTTTACTGACGTCTGTCTCCCATACCGCTCATTCTTTCAAACCGGTCGATCTCCTTCCATTCTCTCCAGAGCGTCTGCCCTGCCCTCTTCACCAATTGTTAAGATCTGTGGTTCGCGGCAACTTGAAGTTTATTAGTATTGTTTGTACGGATTATATATCTAAAAAAAGTATTTAAAGTATCTAGTATTCTTTCCCTGCCGTCTTTCTTTACTTGACTATTTAAATGCGAACACATTCCTGTACTTTCTGCTCCATAAATTTCAAAATGGGTGAGTTAAAGCAGCAGGAGGTCCAAAGTCACCAGCTCATAAGTGGTTAGCCACGCTTCTAAGTGAGGTAATTGATTGTGGTTATTCATTAAAGTGAATTAACTATTGTGGTTGGCCATGCTTCTAGTTCAGTATAGGATAATAGCTTCTCATTCTCTTCTAAAAGTGAACCAAGCTTGTAAAGCAGGTGTCTCCAGACAGTAGTCAGCCCCTTTGGAGGAAACTCTCTAAAGGACTCAGGAAATAAATCCATGATCTCGAATGATTATTGTTTGAGTCCCTACATATCTATTTTAACTATAAATGTTTTCATTATGTTAACTAATTCATTATTTGAGTAGTTATATAGACTACTATTTTATTACAACTGTAAAAAGTAGTCCCTTCTCATTCCTGTTGAGTAAAAGTAGCTCTGTCATTTGTATTTTACATTTCTCAAATGTGTGTGTGTGTGCGTGTGTGTGTGCATGTGCGTGTGTATGTGCGTGTGCGTGTGTGTGTGCGTGTGTGTGTGCATGTGCGTGTGTGCGTGCCTAATACTTTTTAAAAAGAGACTGATTTTGATTACTTTTGTCAGTGTATGTTTAACATGAGTCTATATCTTTACTTCTGTACTGTATTTTTACTTTTGCCACCACTGAAGACAAGACAATCTATTTTTATTGGCCCTCTAACAAAAACCAGGAAAAGCACTGAGTCTGGGAAAGAAGTCTGGTGCATTGTGCCTGCTGGGATTTCTCATAACTAGTATCATGTGACATCAACCCGAAGACTGATGACTCCTGCTGGACACTGAAAACATTTCATTATGTGTGTTTCTCAAAACCAAATGTAAGAAGGCCTCACAAATATGTGATAAGAGAGAGAAAAATTGGAATAATAAAGAAGAATGTTTTTAGTCAAAATAGTGTCAAATCCAGTGAAAATAGTAAGAAAAGTTGAGCCTCTTCATCATAGACATTTGAGTGTAAAGTCTGTTCACAATTCTTTCACACATCTTTAAACGACCAACCAGTTTCACTTTCTGGAATCACAGACAAAAATTATTGAACTTTTTCACAACATAATTTCTTAGTATGTCTGTACATTGTTGCAACACATAAGAGACTAAACTAAGAAGATAATATTATGCTGGTTATATATTACATATAAAATATATACATGGTAGGAGTTTGATTTTATACTGATAAATAAAGCTGAGTTTCAACACAATGTGTATTATTTGTGATGGTGGTGACAGTTTGTTTTCACAAAAATCTAAATTTACAGAATGCGTCGCCCTGATCCTATTGAGGGATAAGCAGAGGGCCATTCAGTGACTTTTGTGCTAAGTGACATCTCTTCTAAAGACTGAATGCAAATAACTTATTTAAGGAAGTCTGAATAAACAGGGGGGGTCCTTATTATCCTTATTATCAATCCTGTTTTTACATTGTTTCATGTAAAAAATTATTTGATCACTATAAAGGAAGTGATGAAAACAACAAAGATCCATCCATTCAATATCTTCCGCTTTATCCGTTGCCGGGTCGTGGGGGCAGGAGTCTAAACAGACCAAGCCCCGGCGATCCAAGATGGCGCCCTATTCAAATGAATGGTTGTGCTCAGTGGCGCTTTGTGACGGCATGGGGGCTGAAAGATTAGCGGAAGTTGCCTGAAACTCGCAAAGATCTATGGGAAACTCGCCTGTATTTGGGCATAGTCTGGTCCTCCCGGTTCTGCGCAGTGGATGATCTCCCATAATGCGTTGCGCCAAACACGCGTGTGTGGGTCTCACACCAGGTCTCACGCACGTGCACAGAGGGGCTCGGCCGCGCTCTGACCAATCAGAGCAGTTCCTCAGAGCGGGAGTTAGAGCGAGAGCCAGACGAGCAGAGTTTGTGGCACTAAAGTGTGGATTTAAACAAAACCAAAGGATTTAAGAAGAAAAAAAGTTCAGGATGACAAGGGACACTAAAATCCCCACAAAATCCGATCTTTATGAAAGCTGTAGGTTCTCTGTCAGCTGAGGTTGAGCTGTTTTAATTTGCATTGAGTTCTATGGGGAAAATTTCTGGGTGGCCCACGTGAATTTAGTCTGGTTCAGTCTGCAGTACCGCGAGAATCCCCTGAGCACATGAGTTATTCAGCTACAAGCTAGTAATACCCTATCCAGTTAATATAATACATCCATGAAACAGACGCCCAGACTTCCCTATCCACACACACCTCCAGCTCATCCATGGGGGTCCCGAGGCGTTCCCAGGCGTCCACTTAAAAACATCACCATCCAGTTCCACATGAATCTACTTTTAATCCACTCCTGTCAGGAAAGGGATTTTTTAAATTTATTTTTTCACCTTTATTTAACTAGGATAAAGGTTAAATTAAAGTGGAGATTAATAACCTCTTTTTCAAGGGAGTCCAAATCATGTTATAATGTTGATGATGTGAAAAAAGATAATAATGATAATAAACGTTACAATATAAATGCATACATTTGGTAATATTAAAACAAAGAAGAAAAAAACCAAAGTCAGTACCACATATTACTTTGGGTTAAGGGGGCTAAATATAAATATACCCTAAGGCCACTATTCAGTAGTAAATATTGACTGGCAACATTTATAGTAAATCCCAGACTTCCTTCCTCATCGTAGTCAGTCAGAATATCACATTTCACTTCAGCCACACTTTAAATGAGTGGAATTCCTAGAAGTGTACAGACGGGGGCGTGAAGAGCCGGGTTAAATATGGGGCATTGGACCCGAGTGCTCATTCTGAATGTTTGCAGGTGAACAGCGAAGCGTGCTCCTCGTGTCTCAGTGCTATGCTTTTAAAACACAGTGAACAGTTGCCATTAACAGCCTCCGATGCAGGAAGAGGGGAAAAGCGAAGCTACATAAGTGAAGACTACTTTCCGTAAGTTTTGTTTTATTTGGCATTTGATAAAGTTACGTTCAAAAGTGATAACAATAATTACAAACACCTCTGATGAGTTGGGTCTTAATGCATCTGGCATTATAAATAAATCAAACATTTCGAGTCAGTAAAATTGTCTTTACAAATGCTACAGAATGAGGAAGAGGGACTCTGTTGTTATTAATCTGTAACTGACGTGAGTTAATAGATAACTGTGGTGCAGTGATTTAGGTTTAGGGCGTCTTGATTGCACTAGGTCCGTCTGAAGTTTACTGATTTATTCTGATTATTTGCTCAATGACACAATGGAAAAAGAATATTTGTTAGAGATACATTTTGTGCTCAGAATCGACTACTACTTAATTGCTAATATGAGAATAATTCATTGATTAAAGATCGACCCAAAGGAATCGCATTTAGAGAGTTGCTAAATGTCAGTTCAGCCCATGTTTGTACTCGTTTTACTGCGGATAAAAACACATTCTTATCAGGTTCTGCCATTAATATTAGGCCTTTTTTTATGCACACTTCTGACCAAAGTGCCAAACTGCCATTGTGTCCATGGGTAAGACACTTCGCCCTTGTCTACTGTGGCTATAGTAGTAGTTTATCACCACCGTGTATTGAGTGAATGAATAATGACATTTGAAGCGTCTTTTAGTGTCCAAAAAAGCATTATTATCACTATAATTATATGTTTTTTCAATATTTGATTTTAATTTAAGATAGATAGAGTATTACACAAATCCTGCCAAAAATATTTAACTTTCACACATGACCAAATACAATGTAAAAAGTACCCGGTTTATATTGCACATCGAAAGCAGACATCCGATAGTTCAGGTTTAGACCTGTGAATTTTCTCCGGAGTCGGGTACAACTGATGGAGAAAACTGTAATGCATAAGCCTATATCGAGAATTAGACCAAATATCCTCTTCAATGTAATGTTTAAGTCTGATTCCCACCTTTCCTTAGATTTATACAGTGCTGGTTTAGGACATTCTTTTATCAAAATAGAATACACTTTAGATATAAATGTATATGTCTCTTGAGAATGCAAAACATTTTCAAATACAGTGAAATTAGGTAACACTACATGCTTTCCCAAAGTGCTGACTAGAAATGACCGCAATTGAAGAAAACAAAAGAAAGTTTTGTTTGAAAGGTTATATTTGCCTCTCAGTTGTTCAAAAGACATTAAAGTTCCTTTCTCAAAGCAGTCCTCCAAAATGTGAATTCCATTTTGGTACCAGGCTTCAAGAATCTTGTTGTTTACGGTCAATGGAATGAGCTGGTTTTGTTTCAGTGGCAACAGTCTGATTATCTGTCAAATACATTTATGTATGTCGTAACATCATTATGTCTGTTACTGTGAGCAGGGCTTTTAAGTCATACTTTTAAACAAAATACCAAAAAACTGTCTGTGGAGAGGACATTTTCCCAAAAATAACAATTGTAAACCGCTTTGTGACTCTAGTCTGTGAAAGGCGGTATATAAATAAAGATTACTTACTTACTTAAACAGTATCTCCCAAAGAATCAAAGGCAATGTGCACCCAAGATGGAACTGTGTCACCTTCAAACATGGACAAGATGAATCGAGATTGAGCTGCAAGATAGTATCTTTTTTAAATCGGGTAATTGAAGCCCTCCTGACCTTTAATACCATGATTATATTTCTAAAGACCTCCTGGCTACTTTACCATTCCATATGAATTGTCTTATAGCTTTGTTAAGACATTTCAAAAAAAGCTTGTGGTAGAGGTATGGGAAGTGATTGGAAGAAATACTGCAGCCTCGGCAAGGAGTTTCATTTTAATGCAGATAACTTTTCCATTTAAAGTAATAGGTAAACTAGACCACTTTTGTAAGTCCTCCTCAATCTTTTTAATAAGCAGAATATAATACAGTTGATAGAGGTTTGTAGGTTAACACCTACAGTTATGCCCAGATACTTTACACTTGTTGAAGTCCATTTGAATGTAGTAATACCGCAACACAGAGTGGTCAAATGTTGTAAGTGGCATAACTTAGCTCTTATCGTAATTTACTTTGTATGCTGAGACAGTACCATACACATCAAGTAATTGTTGCAGCTTAATTAGAGAATGAGATGGGTCTGTTATATATAACATAATGTCATCAGCTAATAAGTTAATTTTATGAACTTTTTGACCTACCATAAAGCCCTTAATGTCAGGATCTAGTCTAATCGCCTCCGCCAGAGGTTCGATAGCTAGTACAAAAAGACCTGGAGGTAGCGGGCAGCCCTGGCGGGACGATCTATTCAAAGAGAATGCAGAAGACATCTTCCCATGAGCAGTAGTAACCATGACAATACTTCAAACAAGTAGGGCTATCCACTCAGCCACCGTGCCGCCCCCATTATAGCATTATAAATCAGACTTGGTGATCTTGGTGGATTTCTTTTGATTTTCTCATGTTAAACAAGAAAGCAGTGTGATTGACATGCCGCCTTTATGTGTCCAACCACTGGGCCACCAATTAAATCAAATGTTGTCACAAAGTTATAAGAAGCTTCCAAGGACTAAACAGAAATCTTTTCTTTTTTACTATGTAGAAAGTACTAATGTAAAAATATAACGCTCAAACTAACTGCATAACTGTGGTTCAACCATAGACTGTAAACATTTACAGACGTAGTGAGGCCCATCTCCGCCATTGAACGTTGTGTCATTTTAAAAGGTCTGCGAGTGGCCCCTCCCGCAGTTAAATTTGAAAAAACGCATCGCGCATGAGTTAGCCAGCACAAGCCCATTTAATGAGTGCATTCAAAAGTCCACAGCAGCAAAACTAGACTGGTCCAAAAAAAAAAATCCCTTCAGCATTGACAAGCATCTGGAATGTAGCGTTGGGCCAAGAGCCGACATTTGTACCCTCCTGTAAAGCCGCTTTCGAGAGGAAAAAAGTCGTTGGATCCATACATTGGATAGTTCTGTTTCCGGGTGAGCCACCTTTGGCAAGGATTTCAATCATGTCAGAGCACGTGCTCATGGACTCTTCTGAGCCAGGACCCCCCACTGGATTCAACACACCTTTGCAACCTGAGTCTGGTGTCTAAATGTTCAGCTCAACAAAATTGTTTTTTGTTATGAGCTCGAACAGCTGAACACACAATTGTGTGTGCATTTTTAACAATGTGCACAATTTAACCCAGCGATGCATGCACATCTCTATATGTGTTCAAACAAGTCATTCAACATTTTCGGACTACTTGATTACTATTTGACTGAAGCAGAGGGCTTTGGCCCCAAAAACCAGTGGGGGCCCCTGACACACAGGGTTTGATATGAGCGGGAGTGAAAAATAACATCATGAAATATTATGTTTTTTTGTTGTTTGTCAATCTAGCAAAGGGTTTTAGTTCCTCACATTGTTAATCAAATTGCAAAGACTTCTAAACACTTGTTTCACTTTGTCAGAATAAGGTATTATGAGAAAATAGACAAGTAAAAAGTGAGAAATGTATACATTTTGGAGGTTGTAACAATGCCAAATGTAGATAAAGTGAATGGACTTGAATACTTTCTGGATGCTCTATATTCTTGCTGTATAGTTTGTTCATATTTGTGTCCCTTGTGTGTTGAATGGATGAGAGGAGCTGGGATCAGATACCTCTCAGCATTTGCTTCACTGCAGGTGTTTTTCAAATAGTGTCCTAAGCACAAACATTCAAGGCAATGTGTCCTATTCATCACAGTTACTTCTACAAAGTTGTTAAGTGTGACAACGTTTGTCTTGAATTCAATGCCAAAGTTTGTGCTCTCAATTCCAACAAGGTAAGTGAACACTCGGGTGTCCAGGTGAGATGTTGTCAGGGTTCCAACCTGTTTCTGTTCATGTACTTTGAACTCGGGAACTCAGGATTTATATTACTCAGAATAATAAAAGAGTGACATTTCTCTTTGTACATGTGCTGAAAATGTGTACACTGTAGGTGATATTATAACACAGTGTAATCAGATTTCATTTACGATTATTTTCAATGATCACAGAGCAATAACTGGAATTGATGTCAAAGTGGATTGAAACTTTGTAAAGGTGTGCAGCAGGAGGTGTGGCTAAAGCTACACCGCTGCACAGGTACCAGGGGGGAGGGAACGAAGGAGTCGAGTTTCCTGGAATACTTTGTTTAGTTTTGTCAGTATAATCAGCCATCTGCAAGTGTGCCAAACCCCACAGAACAACAATATACTACATTCCCAGCAGTTTTTGAACGGGAATGAAGTACTTTGAATCTGTGAATTGAAGGAGTTCTGGAGTTTGCCTTTGGTGAAGAAAAGAGGAGATAAGTAACTAAGAAGACCAGCGAGATTCTAAACAAGTGGAGGGTTGTGCTTTTGAGGTGTTGTTAAATCTTAAGGAAAATACAACATCATGTGGGTGAGTAAATAGTTAAAGGATCCATTTGTGGAAAGGGGAACAACACACTACAAACACTGGAGAAGTTATTGACATCTCATGTTTGAAAACTGGTTTCTCTAGCACTTATGGTTGCTATGTTTGCTAACCTGTAAGTGTGTCTGTATGAGTGTGTTCAGAATACACGGATTAGGGTTGTCAAAAGCATTCTAAATCGAAATATTTAAGTATCAATATGAACATGGCATACTTTTTTCCAATATTTCAATGATTCTAAATAATATCAGACCTATTATGAAGCCAGTGGTAACTAAAACATGTATTATTTGTTCTATAATTTTGTGTAATTGTCAGAAAGTATTGCTACACAAAATAGGATATGACAAAAATAAGTATGAGTTTTAAGTCACATTAGTAAACTAAATTGCAAGTTGGACGTTTTTACTTTATAAAATCGGATTTTGGGCTGTATTATCTTTCAGTGTACAGCAATAGCCATTCTTCAGTGTACTATCCGTAAATCTATTCTCAGAAATCAAAGCCGATCAGCACAGAGCAAGCAAGAGGGGACCATAATTGAACAAAGCCGTTATATATTTTTCAAAGTTGACCTAGAAAATGTGGCTTGTTGAGCAGGCTGCACAACACGCATGGACAGAAACCTGTTAAGACAACCCGAGATGAATCACCAACCAATGTTTTGTTTACTCTTTTTGGCCACGTCATTGGCATGTGTCATTACATTTGTTTTTAATCACTTATGTATTGGTCATGGCTCAAGTTGTTGGGGTGGAAATATATTTGATTAATGATCAATTAAGAAGTGTCACATGACGCTGGATAAGAGCGCCAAGTGATATCCACTGCATGCTCAGAGTGTAAAAGTGTAAAAGTCAAACATTTGTGAAATTGATATTATGTTACATAGAAAACTGAACTAACCGGATGTTACCTCTCATAAAACTTCGAAATATTATTTTTTTCATGAACGCAGTAAAAGTAAAGCAACATAACAGAAACTTGTTTTTAAAATGGGACCGAAAGATTCACATTTCAACAGCAGAACAAAGTACTGTGATCAATCGGAAAAAACATTTAAATCTGTCACTCAAGCTTAAGTCCCACACAATGGAGTGATCCTGATGCATGACTTTAAGGGCGGACACGTCAAAGAACAGTGCGAGTGCATTTTTAATTAAAAAATTAAGTATTATAGATTTGTAATCCCTATAAGTTCTATTCTGGGCACCACAGACACAGCACAACGCAATGCAAATGATTCTTTTGACATTATTCCACTTTAAATACGTGTACAAATGTACAGAGTGACCAACGAAACAAAGGCAAAATTGCACAATGCTTCTGTGTATTAATGTGTGTGATGTTGTTGCCGCCCTTTTATCAGACTGCTCCTCATCTGCCTGAAGAGAGCACACGACCACTGAATCCAAGCACACAGACAGGTAATTATTACATTTTATCTTCATTCAAGTGAAATCTTTATCGGCAGTTATGAGAACTATGTTGTATCTTTATGTGGTAACAACATCACATTAACAAGTCTTTCTAGGTTTGGTCTGTGAAGTTTAAGACATAGAAATATAGGACATGCTATGTCAGGGGTGTCAAATAAACTTTGGTCAAGGGCCGAATTAAAAATGATAAGAGCTGTTTGTGGGCGGAAAGTACAAAGTGCTTTTCTTTTCTAAAAATACACCAGAACACATAATATCCAAACTCATCGCAAATAAGTTTACTGTTGGGCCAAAACTGGACCAAATATGATGTAGTTGAAGACTGATTATTTAATTATTTACCTTACAATTATGTATTGGGTGCAGATATTAGAATAAATACGCAACTCTGGTTTCAATTGAGTAGTCATATGATGTAAACCAAAAGCTGAATGAACTTGTGTGTACTTGTAGTGGTTCTCAGGCCAGGACGTCACAGAAGACCCATGACGGCCCCAAAAACCCAGAAAGAAAAGTCGTCCAAGAGAAAAAAGGTGTTGCTCACCATCCTGTCAGTGGTGGTGCTTCTGGCTATTCTGGCAACAGCCGCATACTTCAGTAAGACAATAATCCTCCTTATTCTCCAAGACTTTAAAGTGCAAATGACTTGTGACTGTGATTCTCTCATTTTAGTTTATTATTTGTATTATGTACGACCTGTTAAAAATAGGAATTATAGTTTTACCCCATTCCGGCTCAAAAGAAAACAAAAACGTGTCCATGGTCAAAGTAGACAGTAGTAAACAAAGTGTGAGCGTTACTGATAAATAATAGGAGCTCAAAGAAGTTAGATCAACGTTTACTATGACCCTTTACCATCTACTATACTTCTAAACTAATTATTTAGGCATTCATTTCTTTCCTTCCAACAAACTGTGAAGGAATAATAATAGTAAAGTTGTTAGCTGACCATGAATCACGAGCCAAATGTGAGGTAGATCACGGCTCAATGGTTGGTGCAAAAATAGATCTTGGTTATATGTTTTCATACAGAAACTTCCCAATGCACTCCGCTTTAGCTTAAACACTACATGTTTCAATAATGATTTTAAAATGCAACTGGTATCTTAAAAAAACAAAACATAAGCTTAAACAACAGACACCGATACTGAACCAGCCTTATACTGTAACTACACCAACCAGACTTAAACCATGAGTCATGACCCAGAAACAAACAAATGCCATTTACTGACCAGCTAAAAACACCAGAATACTACCAAGGAGAAGCAGAACTGAACCAGGGCTGTAACAGACCCGTCGGTTTTGCCCGCAGAAAGAAAACACAAAATTCCTATTCCAATAGTTTTGACACAACACATTACAGGTGAAACTCTGAAAATTAGAATATCGTTTATTTCTGTAATTCAACTTCAAATGTGAGGCCAATTTATGACTCATTACATCCAAAGTGAAGTAACACGTGCCACGCCTTTGTTCAAGTTTTGATGGTTATAACTTGCAGTCCATTTTAATTTTTGTCTAAATGTCTGAGATGTTTTAGAAGAAGATCGTCCTCTATTCGTCCCACAGTGGGGAAAGATCCTTGAATACACATCAAGGCTGCAGCGTACATTACTTCTGCGCTCCTTGTAGGCAGAGTGGATACAGTGTCTTGCCCAAGGAAACAACGGCAGCAAACATCACTGGGAGTCGATGGAGAGTGTTTTAGATTGGGTTTTTAAAGCTGTGGGCCAATTATCAACATTATAACAAATAGAGATTCTTTATAACTCACTTTACATGGAATGAGTCTGTTATAGTGAAGTGTGGTTGAATTACAGAAGTAAATGGACTTTTTAACTATATTCAACCTGTATTTTTTATATTAAACTGATCTATTCTACCTTTTCTTATTTTCATAAGTCAAATAAAATTGGACAAGTTACTTTGCATACAATTTGTTTAGTACAAAAGAATCAGGAAACAAAATTATGAAACTATAAACTATAAAATGCTTATCAGTTCTACCTGGTCATATTTCCATCTGAAAAAGTGTGGTTTATTCAACGGATTATTTACGGCCCTTTCTCTTTGTTCCCTCAGTTAAAGTGCTCATAGACAGTAAGTATTATTTCTGCAAGCGTTCGTTCAAGTTCATTCCGATCGACCTCACCTGTGATGGGAAGAGCGACTGCGCGGGAGGAGAGGATGAAGTTACCTGTTTGTCAGCGTTTACAGTTAACGGCACGTTTCCAGGTGAAGCCCGGCTCCTGAGTCACAGCTGAAACCAAAGCTCCTCTTCCATTGTTGTCCTTGTTTGTGTTCAGTGCGGTTATGGTCCGAGGAGAGTGTGCTGCAGGTGTTCGCTCCCAGCACAGGATGGAGGAGCGTGTGCAGTGACGGCTGGACTGCGGAGCACACGCAGACTGCATGTAAACAACTGGGATACACAAAGTAAGTGATTAAGAGTTAATAAGGATGTCAAATAATACAATATTGCATCTTATTCATGTTTCTTTACGCAGTAAACCACAAAGCAGTAAAGTTCCAGTGAGGTCCCTCCCAACAGGATCAGGGCCATTTACAGCAGTCAGAGCTGGAACTGGAAAAACTCCAGTTCATCAGGCTACAAACATTCGGTGAGGAAACAAATTCACAATTTGCTTTATAAATGTTGAACAGATTTGTCAAAAAGGAACAATTTAAAAGTGAATGCATGCTACAGCTAAAACGAAATAAAAAATATTGTTGTTTTCCCAACTGAGCAAACATGAACAAACTATGTGCAAGTAAGCAGGGATGTTTTGCAGATAATAAAATATGTAGTAGACTAGGTGTAAACCATGCATTATCACTGGACCTGGTTTGATAAAAAACTTTTAGAAGATATAGAAATAGAAAGACATTTTTAAATGAACAAATTTGTTGCAAAACAGATTTCTATAGCTCTGCTTTCCTATGCGTTGATATACTGCATAACATACTATATAATCTTTTTTTTTTTTTTTTCAGAAACAGTGTGTGCCAAACTGGCTCTGTGGTGGCTCTCTCCTGTTCAGGTAAGACCAGACAAAGATACAGTATATAGCCTGCAGGGCCTGGCAGGCCCATGCATGCTCGCAGTGAGCAGCATTTTCTCAGCTGTCAGTGAAAATAACCTGAACATTTATCAAAGCTCTCCATAGCACTGCACTGGGAACATGCTGCTTGATTTAGGTGGGGTTTGAAGTCATCCTAATTTGTCAGTAGGCCATGCAAGACTGGAAAGGGGTTGTAATCTTAGCATTTATTTGCCACACTTACCTGTTGGTTTGTCTTCAGACTGTGGTCAGGTGGACTCTCGGGAGCGGATAGTCGGAGGCACCGACGCGGACATAGAGGACTGGCCGTGGCAGGTCAGCCTGCAGCAGGGCGGACAGCACACCTGTGGAGGCGCACTGGTCACACCGCGATGGGTCGTCACAGCGGCCCACTGCTTTACTGGGTCGGTACATGACACATTAAAATGAATTGATTACACTTTGCAAAGAGATTAACACGGTGGCATGATGTTTGCAGGAATATAAAGCAGCTGAGTCGCTGGAAGGTGGTGTCAGGTCATACGTACATGGGTTCAATGGCAGCTTCCACCGTGGACAGGATCATTATCAATGGAGAATATGACGAGGCTCGGAATGACTACGACATTGCCTTGATGAGACTCTACAGTCCCATATCTGTCGGAGGTACTAACGACAAACAATAGAGGCCTGTAGTCACGTTGACTTATAAATACTGCCCTCTTCTGGTGGTTTTGTTAACAGCAAATAGCCACCTCAACCTAAATATTTGGGGGAAATTGCTCTTGTCTAGAGTTTGAAAGAAAACGCACAACCTTCAACACAATGATCTGTATCAATTCTGAACAACTTCTCTTTTTCCAGACTCTCGCAGACCTGTTTGCTTACCCCCTAAAGCGCTTGGTCTCACAGATGGAGCAACAATGGCAGTTACAGGCTGGGGGTACCTTGAGGAAAATGGTAGACTTCATTATCCATCATTTACATACACAGTTGTTAAAGCTAAATATAACATGCAATATTATTGATATTTGAACTTTCAGGCAAGGTTTCCTCTAGACTTCAGCAGGCCACCATTCCACTGATTAGTCGAACCAAATGTTCAAAGTCCACCGTTTATGGAAGTGCCATAACTGAGCGGATGCTGTGTGCAGGACTGTTGGAAGGGGGTGTGGATGCTTGCCAGGTACGGTAACTATTTGCTCACAAAGAACTCTGGAATATTTTAAAATGATGTCAAATATATTTAATAGTCAAAATGTCTTTCTTTCTTCATCCCAGGGTGACAGTGGGGGGCCACTGGTGCACCTCTCCTCCTCCAAGCACTACCTGGTGGGGGTGGTGAGCTGGGGAGTGGGATGTGCCAGGAGGGGGAAACCTGGAGTATACTGCAATGTGGAAGAGATGATGAACTGGATTAACTTGGTCATTGAGGTACACACATATGTTTTCATTGTTCATTGTTTAATTGTTAATGAAGAATCAATATTGCATCCCATCATTACCAATGGGATGTATATTTTGTGAGTACTATTGTAATTAATGTTTAAGACTCTTTTTGTTTCATCTCCAGAAAAATCCTTGATTACGGCCATCCCGGATCCCATTTGGGGCAAAATTGTAAAGCTTTCCAAAAGACGTTGGAAACATGGATATATTGTAGGTGAATTGTCACCATATTAACTAGGGCTATTTATGCAGACAGTGGTATATTTGTTGTTGAAAACCTTTCATTTCATGTCATAACATCATATCCCAGGGGAGGTACTGGAAGTTATTTTTGGATGGAATGAAGTGGCATTACATCTTAACACAAACATTTCTGCACTTCCATTAATAGTATCATTGTTGCTTTGTCTCGATAAATAACTGGGGCTATTTGTGCTGCTGTTTGGACACTGCATCTGTGTGGCACTGATTTACTCAAGCACTTTAAGTGGGATACTTGATAGTTTGCTTGTTTAACTATTGTTAATGCACAATCTATGGTTTACACATTATTGGCCATAATGCAGAGTGACTGTTTGATTCACTTCTGTGCACTGAACAGCTGTCTTATATCACGGGATTACCAGCGATAACTAGTAAAATGTGTATCTATTTGTAAATTAATATTAAGGAGAATGTAAATACTATGTACATAGCAACGTGGTTGGACGATGACCATTTTATGTTTACATATTACTGTAAATGCACTCGTTAATACCTTGTGAATATAAATGTGTTTGTTTTATGGTATTTGCTCAAATAAATATTAGTTGTTTTTTAAATTTGTCAAAAGAACTTTATTGTTTTAAGACGCTACAGAAAATGTTGATTAGATATAAATGTGAGGGAACAGGAATATTGAAATAAGCACTTAACTTCAAAACAAGTGTACAAACATTATAGAAGAGAATTTAAGTTTTTTTCCCACGCCGACTTGATCCTTTGAACGGATTATCCTGCACAATAAAAAAAATACTTTATTAGAATTCGCAGTTATTATGACACTGCAAATTATTATTTGTAACTTACGTCATCATCGTCATCACTGTTATCGTAAAAAAACCCTTTGGAAGACTGGCTCTGACGCTGAGACTGGCTGCTGTACTTTGCAAAAGAAGTGGAGGCTGCTCTAAAAAGAAAAAGGTAAATATTATATAACTGGTAAATTCAAAGTTAATTTCAAAGACAATAAAAAAATAGAAATGTACTTCGAAGTCAGTCGAGTAGTTTTAGTGACTGGGAAATCTTCATCAGAATCATCAATAGTTATCTATAGATTGACACAATTAGCACAATTAGCACAATTTTTAAAAAGAATCAAACCTTGGAGATTGTACTATATCTTATCCCTTACGTCTTCTGTAGGAAAAGAGCCAGACCGGGAGGATCTCTGAGATGTAGCTTGAAATGCTGTTGGTAAAACAGTTAGGCTTTGGATTTAGTTACAGGATTGAAGTCATTGTTCTCGTAAACACACAACCAAGTACCGTACCTTGCATTATACTTCTGCTTTGAGTAGAAGGGGCAGATTTTTGACCACGGCCACGACTTGCTGGTTTAGATTCAGTGGTAGTTGCACCTGAAATAAGTCTCTTTATTCATGTTGACAGGAAACCACATTTCAGGAATTACAATGTTTCAACAAACAATTTATAATTTGTGCTTTGAGCCAATGCAGCACTGGGCACTCAAAGGTTTGCCCATAATGCTTTTTGGCTTGCAGTAAAATTGACCAGCTGTGTCAAATGTGCAGTGAGAGTTGTAGAAGTTAGTGGGTGCCGACGATAACATTTCAAGCCACGGCCTCACTGTCATCGTTGCACTAATACAATATTTGATGTGATTCAGTACACAAGGAATGAGCTTTTTCTTTTTTTAACTTTTCAAAATCCACTAATAATGTTTTTTTGTTGATTTTTACACTTACTGCTTTTTGTAATGGTCTAAATTTTATTTGGAAAACCAATGCTTTTTCTTTAATATAAAGTGTATTCTAATCTATTAATCACGGATTGCATCACTGATTTCTTTTAAAGCAAGTGCATTAACTGAGGTAATAAGTACCAGGGTGCACTTGGTAATCATTTAGGCTGAATTAGCATAGAGAGCAAATGGATTGAAAAAGTGTGAACGCACCCTTTATGCATGAATTATGATCGGATACTTATAATGCCGACTTATAATACCTCTCCCTCTTCCACGTCCGCCCCTGCCACGCCCTCTACCCCTCGTGGGCTGTGGGAAAGGGCTGGAGCTGTCATCAGAATCCATAGCGACATCACCATCTGACATGCGATCCTCTGGGCCACGCTCCATACGGTGGGCTTTAGCTCTGCTCAAAGCCTGATGGAGAAGATGGACGCCCCCAGTCAAACACATTTTCCTTGCTCACAAAACAAATTTTAGAAATCAAACTTACTTCTTTAATATCACTTTCTTCTTCTGTAGTGTTCTTTTTTGATTCTCTAAATACCTTAATCTGTGAATAAATAAAACATCCTTCTAAGTATATATGAAATGTTTTATTAAGATTGTAGTGAAACTAAGCTATGAACAAGGCTTACCAACAATCTGTACATTACCTCTGCATCGATGTCTTGCTCTGTAGTAACTCCTCTGGCCAGTAGATGCCGCTGTGTCTTCTCAAGCTGATATGAAATCAACTCCTCTATGGCATCTTTCTCATCTTTGTCTACAAATTCTTGTATTGCTTTTCCCATGCCCTGCTCCGTCAGTAAGGAGAGCTGCACAGTCTATAAAAGTAGTTACAAGCACAGGCTTTTTTGAAATACATCCATCCCATAATCTATCAATCAATGTTTGACAAATACCTGCTCTGTCGCTTCAAAGTATTTTTTAACCAAATCTTCTACTCTTAGTCCTTCAGTTGCTGTATTCTTCACTAATTTGTTGTAGTCAACATTGACTTCATCTAGAAAATGAACACATTACTACATTGATGACAAAATGACTAAGTTACTTTGAGCCACACCTTTAATGTTTTCTTTCTGCTCTCGCCGCCTTAGAAAGTGAATTACATCCTTTGGATTGGCAACACGATCAACAAACTTTTGACTGAAGCGAGAAGTGTTGAATGCCTCAAATCCTCCACTGTAATCCACCTGGTAAAGAAGCAGCACCACTTCACTCAAAAAGACATGTTGCATGCATAAAGACGTTCATATATATCTTTATGTCCTGTATATGTCTATATAGGTATATATATGTAATATATCCATTACTTACATACCTTTTTGATCTAAACTGTCACTGGATAATGCTTAAACTAAACTAGATAAGAATAAAGTTTTTCATAACATATACAGATATTCATATTGCTCCTTATTCCCATTATCCTGGATGTGCGCAGCAACATTTCCCAAGTGTGAGACAATTCAAGATGATCTTACTCTGAGTCGTATCAAAGGTTTCTCTGGCACCATGGGGCAACCCAACCTCTCTCTTTCAGCTTCCTCTAGCATCTCGTTGACCTGGAAAAGAAAATTAACAAAACGTCTGCATTTACCAGTATTTACACTTCTAAAGGTCATTAAAAGTTTTACCTTTGCATAGCAGAATTCTTCCACTTTCTTTGTGACATGGGGTGTGTGTGGGGTGAACATGTCCTGGTAGTCAGCTAAAACAACGTCTTGGATGAAGAATTGGCGGACGGTTTTAAGGGGTAGTTTTTGCAAATTCATTTTGCGACCATTAACACGAAGCAATCCTATGTGTCTGAAAAACATATTCTTCAGATTTAGCCTTGTTTAAATTGCTTTATTCTAAACATGTAACGTCTAATAATACTTTTTGGTGGCTTCTCCAGGTGAAAGGGAGGTTGCTACAGAGCTTCCAGGCTGTGTCACATAGAAAAGCTGCTGCTCATTTCTGGATGGGGCTATGAGGCATTCGTGCTCATGGCCCCACACAACGAGATCAATAAAGTCATCAAGAAACTGCTCAGGAATGTAGTTTGTAGGTCCATGCTTACTCCTTCAATAAGAAACAAATTGAATGTGTTGACATTATCATTTCTGACCCATTTTATATATTACATACCTGTTTTGGTGCAACGTAAACAGATTAAACCACTCATCTTGGTCTTCTTTAGGACGAAGCATTGTTACCTGATTATTTACAAACATTCTGTAGAGACGTTCATCTGGGATGGATCCTGTTGATTCATAGGTTACTACACCAATGTAATAAATTGTATAACTAAACATAAAACCACTACTACTATCTTACCAAGACCATACAGGGCTAGCTTTGTCTTTCCTTTTTGCATTAAAATGGGGCTGATTTCAATTTTTTCTACAGACGTAGAATGACCAAAGTGATTTATCAGACCTGATGCACCCAATAAATCCAAAGCACACAGCCCTTCAGCCTTCAAATAAATGAAAACAATATAATTGTATATATATGTGCAAGGTAATAATAATGAAATAATGAATGGTAACTTACCCCTGTAGGGTCGTCGTGATTACCGTGGATACTAAACACAGGAATGGAGATGTTCAAATTTTCGTCTTGATAATTAGCCCACGGAAATCTGTAAAACAGGCTTACATTTATAAATGCTGTGTGAAAAGAAATGTATGAAATGCCATTGACAAACCAACTTGGTTGTATTGAAGTTAACTGTTTGGTCACTGAGAATGTTGAACTGTATGGGAGTATCTCCCATACAGTAATGTCTGAGCATCGTGATGCAGCTATGGAGGCAGCGTCGAGAGGGCTTGTTCTCGTGGAACAAATCTCCACCCAGTAGAATTAAGTCCACCTTCATAAATATATTAAACAGTGGTATTATGGTATACAAACCCGCAGAGATAAAATTCCTATGTGACACGTAAAGAACAGATACCTGATGCTTCTTGGCATATTCTAAGATCTCCTTCAAAGTGTTGTAGGAGTCATTTCCACGAATGGCATCCTTCTCCAAATAACCCAGGTGTACATCTGTTGCAATGAGGATCTTAAACGTGTCCTCATCGTCCCTGGAAACATGTATATTAAGGTATGTGTATTAAAGTTACAGAAAACATAACACTACCACTGCAGATTGTCTAAGAGTAACTTACATGGTGTTTTCTGAGGACATGGTGAGTGTCTGTTGGATGCTTATCTGTTATTAAAACAAAAATATGGGCAAAGAGATTTCTAGTGAAAAACATTACATTACAAATAGAAATAATCGTAATGACATGCGAGAGACGGTAGCTTGTCTGCTAGCTTTAATTACAGTCTAGTAAAGTGTCATAGGGACAAGATGAAGTCGCAGAAACGCATTGGCAACAGTTTAGCTAACCTTTTAATGCCGAAAATATCGAGTAAAAACGCGAGGCTTCAGGTAGACCAGTACCCAAAACGTCAACTTAGGACCACATACACGCCTTCGCAGGTCTAAAACCCTGAACCACAGTAGCCATGTCCTAAAGTGAAAGCACGCAATGAAAATCCCGGCAATTGGGGATGAGTGCAGTCATGGGAGTTGTAGTTCTTTTAAGACCTCTTCGCATCTATTTACGCTGCGTCAAATGTAGAAAAAACTACATTTCCTGGAGAACAGGGTAGAGGCTCGCTTTATTCACCGAGTGCATCTAAAGAAGTATTTTAAGATAGAATCAATTGCGAAGAGCTACTGCGGAGCACAGTCTGACATAAAACCATACAACCAAGCGCAGTCGTAGAAGGAGAGAGGTTTGGCTACTACAGGTCACATCAGTTAACTGTGCTGCAGAAACGTACGATTTTGCAATTATTATCAACTAAACAATATAATGTATGACTGTTTTACTCATTGGGCAAAAGACGCATAGATCTGCAAGCTATGGATTCTCAAGCAACAACTTCAGCTGAGGTTTTCCTTCAAAAGGTAAGTGCAGAAAATTCAGAACACGTACATTTGTTTGTGCTTTGCAAAACAAATTAATAAAGTGTCATAGCGTTTCACAGTGGGACAGGTTATCCCAAACACACTGCTGATAGATGGCCTGTTATTGTTTATAGTTCTTGACTCGTCATTATGCATCTACAGGATCCACGCCCACAGCAGCAACAACAAACCATTAGCAGTGCTTTAGTGTGTGAAAGTCTGTCACTGCCTTCATACAAAGAGTATCCTGCTCAGCGTCCATTCATTACCACACTGGTCCATCACTCTCCCACACCACAGAACTGTCGGGCCTCATCACCATCTAAAGCATTTCCAGAGACCAACAGTGCAGGTAAATACTGTTTTTACCCACTTTTGAACACCAGATCTACGAGATGTAAATTTGGTTTGACATTTCTGATATTTGCCTGTGTTGTTCTGCACCATGGCTACAGTGTAACATGATTCTTCTCTCTCCTCTATTTATGCATTCATTCATTCACAGTCTCCAATTACGCCATGCATAAATAGATGTTATTTTAATTAAGACCCATTTAAAACCTTTTTTGTATTTGTTAATTGTCTTTTATTACATGTTTGTAGCAATTCTGTCTGCCCTCCGGGATCTCCAAGACAAGATCCGGAAATTGGAAAAGGAGAAGGGGCATACACAAATCTGCTTGACCGATACAGTGAAGGATGTGAATTACACCTCTACACAAAAAGATAAAGATATTATCAAGACGGACTGTAACCAGGGTGACTAAAAGCTCTATCTGAATTTTAATTAAAGCTGGGTCTTTCAATCAGTATTTTTGTTTATCCCCGAGAGGCCATTTAAAGGCACAGAGAGTTACAGAAATAAAATAAATAAATCAATTATCAAAATGCAAACATTCATTTATACAGGCACATTAAACGTAATACAGCTGTTAATGGGTAATGTCCCAGAAAAATGTCTTTTCAATTATGGTGCTATAGTTAACATACGATTTGCAAGTGAACTGCTGCTCCTTTTTAAAGTAAGATCAAAGCACGTATTTTTACTTATTATAATGTAAGCTTTTAGCAATAACAATATAACCCTAAATATAAAGATTTTCTTATTTTTGGTTTAATTTCATATTTTAGAGTCTACTGCTTTGTGTATGTTTATTGTGTGCTCATGTTTATCAAATATTTACAGTAATTATGTAGTTTTGCATTCCATTTTAGCAATTTTTTTTGTGATTCAAAAATATGGCCCATATCATTCTGCCTTAATATTAGTTTTAAATTTGTCATTTGTGTGTTTACTGATATCTTGTCATTTGTTTCAAGTGCTGGTCTCCCACCTGGCGTCCGCAGAGTCCCGTTGTTTAAAACTGGAAAAACAACTCGATCATACAAAAAAGTTGTTGCGCTCTGCCAAGACGGACAGAACAAACGTTTTCAATCGGGTCAGTTATTTTTTTCGGTCATGCTGAAAGAGACTGATTAAGCCAATTATGTTTTCTAATTATTTGATTGTTTTAAAGGTAAGAGAAACCACTGAGTCACGTGATCCACTTCACACAGACAGCCCTTCTGTTCTGGCTCGATTGGAGAAGCTTGACCTTTTAGAGCAGGAATACCTCAGGCTTACCCATACACAGAACCAGGCAGAGGTACTAAAAGACAACCACATATTATTTTAACTTACTGTGGCTACTAATATTGTCTTTATTTTTTCTTTAATTTTTTTTCTTCCAGAAAAAGATCCTTGAGCTAGAATTAAAATTGCAAGAGGAGGAGCATCAGAGAAAGCTGGTTGAAAACAAGGCCAATCTGGTAAACAAAGTTTTCTTCATAATTGTTTTCCCTTCAAAACTATACATCTAAAAGATTAACGTTTAATTCATTCCAGCTGCAGGTCGGCTTGGAGGCAAATAGGATTTTGTTGCAATCAGTGTCTCCTCATCAAAAGTACAAAGACAAAAAATCTACAGAAGTAAAGGTGACAAATTAGACTATACACTTCGTTGAAAACACTTCCTTTCTTTATTGATAAATTACTGCATGTGTTCTACAGAAACCTTCAGTTCAGCATTCCTCTACAGAGCCACATTATAAGTTCAGGCTCAGAGACATTCCCTTTGTTGCTGGAACGGTATGGTCTGCAAAATTCTCTTTTGTAATGTTGTATGAACTTGTCTACTTCCCTCCTCATTTTCCTAATGTTCAGTCGGTGGGCAGCAGTCACTCTGTTCGTGCAAATGTCCAGTCCGTTCTGTCTCTTCTGAAGTGTCACCAGCCTCAACTCTGCAACAGTCGAGTTCTATCAAACAAACCATATCCCACAGTTTGTGAAAACTATTCATCCCCATCGAATGAAGATGAACTATCAGATCTGCTGCATGCTTTACAAGAGGAGCTTCTCCTCATGAGCTTGTAAGTCTAGCAACAGGCTAAGATCCCAACATTTCAATGTGAACACGGTTGGTTATTTGTGCTGCAGAGAGCAGGATGAACTGGTAAAGAAAGTGGAGAAAAGCACTTGTGAACAAGAAAGAAAAGAACTTCAGCAGGAACAGGAGAGACTGCTTCTCAAAATGGAGAGAAAAGGGGAGCAGATCAATAAGCTTTATAAACATAAATCTCAAGTACGTACGTAGTTTGAAACTGTTCAATCTAATGTCTATTTGTTTTGATTAAATTAAGTTTTCTTAGGTAAAGAATTTGTTGAAAGAATCCGATGATGGTCGTGTTAAAAAGAGCGGAGCAACCAGAAAGTTTAGCAGCTCAGGTCAGTTGACTGGAGCAACCAAAGTGGGACCAGGAGAGATAAGCAGGAGAAACCTGTGTCTGCTGAAGGACATGAGAGCCCTTCGGACATCTCTGCAGACGTGAACCTTTATGTTGCTTATTTTTGCTGCAATGCCCAACAGGACACTTTTTTTGGTTGCAAATGGTTTTCTACCACAAGAGGGCAGAAATGGGCTAGATTTCTGGACGGTAAATAAAACAATAACTTTTCTTTGCAGCTCACTCATTATGTGTTGTGGTTTTCTCTTGAAAATCATAATAATGAGATCCCTTCCATAATCTGAACTACTATGGATATTTTGGCACAGCATGTGCATGCATTCATTTATAAATTAAAATTACAAGCAACTGTTTTTAGTTTCCTTATTCATTTCAAATCATGTTCTACATCAGTCACTGAATGACAGGATACTGGTACCACACAAAGACATATATTGGGAAATCTGACACTGAGTATATCCTTGATCTAGTTCTACTGCATCCACAAGCATCATCAGTGGTTACAATTTACATTCCATCACTACATTCTGTAGTGTGATCCATCCTGGGAGCTCACTAACAGATCATACAAAATGACTGGGACGATGATTACTAATTAATATTGAGATCACTGACAAACAGCAGAAGGCAAACTATTTACAAGAGTCTAAAACAAAATCTAAAAGCTTCCATCCCAGTGTGTACTCTTGGCTCAGAGAAGAATCAGGTCCTGAGAGCGTAGGTCATGGCCACTGCTCCTCTTAAGCTTCATGAGCTGCTGGAGATAGGAAGGCACCAACACAATACATTTTCAAATGAAGAACCAATGTGATGACAGGAAGAGGCCTGTCTTTATTACAGACTGATATATTAATACATTCTATATTTTTCCAGGTATACAGTGGGGCAACAATGTATTTAGTCAGCCATCAATTGTGCAAGTTCTCCAACTAAAAAAGATGTGGGAGGCCTGTCGCTGGGTAACACGGACTTTCAACTCCCTCAATAGATTTTCTATGGGGTTGAGATCTGGAGACTGGCTTGGCCACTCCAGGACCTTGAAATGCTTCTTACAAAGCCACTCCTTCGTTGCTTGGTGGTGTGTTTGAGATCCTTGTCATGCTGAAAGACCCAGCCACGTTTCATCTTCAATGCCCTTGCAGATGGAAGGGCATTTTCATTCAAAATTTCCCAATACATGGCCCCAAAGCATGATGTTTCCACCCCCATACTTAGGTATGGTGTTTGTTTGGATGCCACTCTCCTCCAAATATGACGATTTGTTTATTTTGGTTTCATCTGACCATATGACATTCTCCCAATACTCTTCTGGATCATCCAAATGCTCTCGAGCAAACTTCAAATGGGCCTGGACATGTACTGGCTGAAGCAACGCGTCTGGGAACACGTCTGGCACTGCAGGATTTGAGTCCCTGGCCGCGTAGTGTGTTACTGTTGCAGGTCATTCCCTAGTTCCCCCCGTGTGGTTCTGGGATTTTTGGTCACTGTTTTTGTGATCATTTTGACCCCACGGGCTGAGATCTTGCATGGAGCCCCAGATCGAGATAATCAGTGGTCTTATATGTCTTCCATTTTCTGATATTTCCTCCCACAGTTGATTTATTCACACCAAGCTGCTTACCTCTTGCAGATTTAGTGTTCCCAGCCTGGTGCAGGACTACAATTTTGTTTCTGGTCCTTTGACAGCTCTTTGGTCTTGGCCATAGTGGAGTTTGGAGTGTGATTGTTTGAGGTTGTGGACAGTAAGTACAGTAAGTGAGTAAGTAATCTTTATTTATATACCGCTTTTCACAGACCAGAGTCACAAAGCAGTTTACAATTGTGGGCATTTGTCCTCTCACTCCACACAGAGATGGGAGCGTTTAAGTCGTTATCACACTGATAACGAGTTTAAACAGGTGCCTCTTAAAGAAGGACTTATGACCTGTAAGTACTTGTGAGAGCCAGGAATCTTGCTTGTTTGTAGGTGACCAAATACTTATTTTCCACCATAATTTGCAAATGAATTATCTCAAAGTTGAGGTATCTATGATGAAAATTACAGGCCTCCCTCATCTTTTTAAGTGGGAGAACTTGCACAATTGGTGGCTAACTTTTTTGCCTTACTTTATGCATTTAAGTACAGCGTCAAGTGTAACACAACTTCCTGGAACTATCTAACGGTAAAATACCAATGCTCAGATAAATAGAAACATATCTGTTATTTCAAGAAAATATACAGAAAATAAATATTTAGCACAAAAATATGACAGATGTAGGCTAGATGTTGTATTTATCATGAGCCATTGGCATTGAGAACAATACAGAGAATATATGTATTTACATAGACAGTCAATACATCCATCTGATGAATAAATATAGCTTAATATTTGTTAAATACTGTTGAGTTTATACACAGCAAATCAATGTTTTGCAATGTTCACGTGGATAGAAAAATATAACTTTTCAAGATACCCATTCTAAAGGTGCCTATAAATACTTCTTACCAAAGCAATGGAGCTTCAATTTTTGTGAATATGATGAAAACAAAATGGCAGTTAGGTAACAACACTTATATAGAAGGCCATGAGATGTGTACCCAGGTTCAGTTCTTTCAGACATGTGATCTGCTGACCCAGTCTCAGAGCTGCAGATGAAAACAACACCTGTAACCAGAGTCCTGTTTGTGTGCTCAGGTGTGATCCCCTGCTCCCTCTGCAGGGGCCCAACACTGACCCACGAGCCACGTGCCGTGTGTTGTCCTTGGCAACGGCCCAAGAAGGCCAGACTCTTCAAGAATCTGTTTGAGAGATACACTGTGACTGATGCGTGTTCTCGTCCTGGTGCTTTGGCAAAACCGGTCGGTTGGTATAAATGTCATCTACAGGCAGGAGGAAACTAACGGTCTTTACTTTGGCTCTGAAATGAAAAATATACTAAATGAATGTGTTTATATCACTGACTTGAGAACGTAGCATGTAGAGTAACACCTCACCTGTTCTTATGAACATAGTCCTGAAGAGAGTGCCTGTTGTGGGAGGGACTTTCGAAAATGCTGTTCCCATGATGGATCTCCTCTTGGAGTCTTTCCCACCCAGAGTCAGCTCTCCTGGAACCTTCTCTCGTGGGCACAGAAGCCAGGCTAGTGCCCATTGAGTACCTCCTCACAGTCATCACATTGTTCTCTGAAATCAAATATAAATTGCCTTTGTATCAATGATTATAAGCATTATAATCCAACATTTGCCAGCATGATTGATTGATTTTACAGTTGGTTCAAATGGGCTACAGTTGCTCAGAATATAATTAGAGCAGAGAACATAACTTTTGATTAATAATAATTTGTTCTTTTAGAATCAGAGGCCATGGATGTGAAGGAGAAGAAAAAGGAGGTGAACGATAAAGGTTATTATAAGTTTTAGCTTCGAGGTGGAGAGACATTTTAAAGGAAGATAAAGGTGTCCTATCTGTTCCCAAAGGCGCACCTTTGAACGGTCCCTCCAGCACAGGGGCAGACGCGTTCCTCCGCAGGCTGAGATAGGGGTTCTCCTCCACCACCGTGCTATGGGCCATGCTCGCATGGGCCGCTTTGGCCCAGTGAGTCCGCTGGCTGTAGGGCCCTCTCGGGTCGCGGCTCTCCGTCTCCAGCTTCTTGATCTCTTCGCGCATTTCCATCACGACGTGCGCAAGGCTACGGGTGCCGTCCATGACCGCGCTGCTGCGCTGCCAGTACCACGGCTTCCCAAACACTGGCGGCACGTCCCTTTGCTGATGCAGCTTTAACATCTTCAGGCCTTTTGTCTGTTACTTATTACGCCTCCTTCTTGGTTTGTGCTCTGTTCAATCTCTGCAGATCTTGTTCTGGGCAGATTATGTCGCCTTTCACCACTTGTGCCGCTGAAAAGGCTTCGGTGATCACCCAGCGCTGAACGAGGCATACTTTATTCATCAGCCCCGTGTAAAGTTTCAGGAAAACTACGCGGGGGTCGGAAATGAAATGCGCACTGCTTTGCACTAGAGCAGCTCCATGCGAGGGTTTATACAAGTTTATAAAGCCAGGTAGCTCATGTGAGACCTCAGGAGAGACTGACATCATGGCAAATCTAAATCTGAACTGGGCCAGTCTTCTGGCCCAGCTCAACTGCTGGTAATTGAGCTCTTTCTGGCGATATTAAGAGTTGAATTCATTAACAGTAATATACACTGCTCACAAAAACTTAAGGCACACTCAAAAAACACATCCTAGATGTCAATCAATTCGAATTTTTGGATGAGAATCTTTATTCATGTGTGTTGAGAACAAAATAACTTAAAAATGAAAAATGGAAATCAAATTCTCAGCCCCTGAAGGTCTGAATCTAAAATTATAGTCAAAATCAAAGTGACAAATGAGGTAATTAATAGTTACCTAATGTAACTTAAGTTCTACGAATAGGTGCGTAGTCCCTTAGGACTTCGCTAGTGGGATATCACTCGTGACCCCCAGGTCACGCGCCAGAGAGATCAAAATAATTTGCTCCAATCACCAGCCACCCTCCTCTATAAAGGCCCCTGCACAAGGCCGCACCCCCTCTTGAACTCTGCCAAGCCGGGCTGGCCTGATGGGCTCGTAGCTAAGGGACTACGCACCTATTCGTAGAACTTAAGTTACATTAGGTAACTATTAATTCTACGTCATGGTGCTACGTCCCTTAGGACTTCGCTAGTGGGACACAACGCGGAGGCCGTAGGAACATGTACTCCCAGCAGGCCAGCGAAGGGTGATTGGAGCTCCGCCCGAGCAAGACCCTCACACAGTGAGAGGACTCAGGGCAGAAGAAGCAAATGCGTGTTACAGGGCCACTCCTACCAAGGATACCCCCACAAAACACAGACCGTAGGTCACCCGTAGTCCCAGGACGCCTCTCCCAAGAGCTCCTGACGTGGACTACCTGACCGACCAAAACACACATATATAAGTACCGCACCTGTAGGACGCCTTTCCCAAGAGCTCCTGAACCAGGGCGGAAAGTCAACCGAAGGCCCCCTCAGAGGAGGGACCTAACGGTCTAACTCAGTCCGCTGCACTCAGCACGGAATGGGCCACCGACCGGTCCGACACATCCAAAAGATAAGACCGGACGAAAGAAGAGGACGACGCCCAAGAAGCCGCACGGCAGACGTCCTCGACCGACGCCCCCCTGAGAAGGGCCGTAGAGGCCGCCATCCCACGCGTGGAATGCGACCTGAAGCCCACCGGGGGGGCCAGACCCTGCGTCTGATACGCCCGTCGCGACCCAGTGCGCCAGCCGCTGAGCCGACAGCGGGGCGCCCCTGTTCTTGGGGCCCAGACACACAAACAGCTGACCACCCAACCTGAATGACGACGTCATGGCCAGGTAATGCCTCAGCATTCTGACAGGACACAGAAGGTGCCGCCGTTCCTCCTCGGGGGAGGCATGCGGTGGCGGATAGAAAGCCCTAATCCTGATGACTCTCGACCTAAAGGCCGACGTGATGACCTTGGGGAGAAAGGCCGGATTGGGCCACAATTCCACTATGCCGTCGCCTTCTCCAAAGGACAGGCAAGACGCATGGACAGAGAGCGCACACAAGTCGCCCGCCCTCTTAGCAGACGCCAACGCCAGCAAGAGGGCCGTCTTAAAGGCGACACACTCGGGACTCGCCTCCGCCGCCGGTTCAAAGGCGGACCCGACAGCCCCCTAAGGACCACCCTGAGGTCCCAAACCGGGGGCGTTCTCTGGAGCGGGGGCCTCCTCCTGCGCGCCCCCCGCAGAAAACGTTTAACCAACGGATGAGAGCGGGCTGTGAACCCCCCGAATCCGTTGTGACCCGAGGTAATGGCTGCCGCGAACACCGCCAAGGGGGCGACAGCCCTCCCTTTGTCAAAAAGCTCCTGCAGGAATCCCAGGACCCCCTCCAGCGGGCAACGCCTGGGATCCCAGGAACGGGAACCGCACCAGTCGCTGAAGAGCCTCCACCTCGTGGCGTAGGCCCTCACAGTGGACGGCGCCCTCGCCCCCTGAATGGTCTCCACCACCGCAGGGGGAAGACCCAGGTCTACGAGGTTCCGCCTCTCAGCCTCCAAACCCAGAGCCTGCGGCCGATTATCGGGCGTGAAAACAGGGCTCCCCCCCCCCTGGACTAGAGCCCCCGGCTCGTCCGGGAGGGCCCAGGGCTCCATCACCGCCATGCCCCTCAGGAAGGGGAACCACCGGGCATGCGGGCTGTCCGGAGCCACCAGGATCACCGACCTCCTCTCCTGTTCGATCCTCCGCAGCAGGACCGGCAGGAGACGCACTGGCGGGAAAGCATACAGCAGTCGCCATGCGATGGAGAGCGGGGGACCTGGTGCCCCCCTGCCTGTTCAGATAAGAGACCACAGTGGTGTTGTCTGAGCGCACCATCACGTGTCTCCCCTGCAGCTGAGGAGCAAAGTGCAGCAGTACCCTGTGCACTGCCTCCATCTCCAGCAGGTTGATGTGACGGGCTGAGTCCGACCAGCAGCCTCCTACAGAGCTCTGGCCGAGGACCCCGCCCCATCCTTCGAGCGACGCGTCCGTGAACACCTCGACGTGAGACACGGCGCAGGCCAGAGTCACTCCGTCCCGCAATAGACCCGGAGTGAGCCAGAACCTGATGTCCGATGCTGCCACTTGGGGAACCCAGATGAGCCTCCCCCCGTCCCGGGAGGGGTGAAGCCTGAGGCGTGAGAACCACCTCTGAAAATTCCTCATGTGGAGAAGGCCTAGCCGCACCACAGCATGAGCTGCCGCCATCATTCCCAGTAGGGACCTGAGGCGCCGAGCGGGGACTCTGGGGCCCGCCAGAACCTCCCTGGCCAGACGGGTAATGTTCATGCGTCTGTCCACGGACAATGCAGCACGGAATGTCACAGAGTCTAGCTGCAGGCCAAGATAAATCATGCGCTGAGCTGGCTGCAGCTTGCTTTTCTCCCTGTTTACCACAAAGCCCAGACGCTGTATGTGGGACAGGACCCAGTGCGTGTGACTCACGGCCACTTCTCTGGATGAGGCCAGAATTAACCAGTCGTCTATGTAGGTTAAAAGTCTTACCCCTGCGCGTCTGAGCGGCTCCAGTGCTGCCTCCACGCACTTGTAAAAAGTGCGAGGCGCGAGTGCGTAGCCGAAGGGGAGACGGCAGTACTCGTAATTCCTCTCTCCCACTGCGAAGCGCAGAAACCTCCTGTGTTCCGGCACTATCGGCACGTGGAAGTAAGCGTCTGTCAGGTCTATGGAGGACATCCAATCTCCCGGCCTGACACACTCGAGGTGTGTCAGGCAGCTGCTTTGTGGACAGCATCCGAAACTGCCGTTTGGAAATGCACTCGTTCAAAACGCGCAGATCCAAAATGGGACGCACCCCTCCTGACTTCTTTGGTACTAAGAAGTAAGGGGAGTACAGCCCCCTGGTGGCGTCCTGCGGGTCTACCTCCACTGCTGCGCCTCGACTCAGCAGGGAGGAGACCTCCGCTTGTAGTGCTTCTAATGATCCCCGTACCTGAGAGCGTGCTGCCCGTACGCCTCGGAATGGTGGTGGCTTCCGGGAGAATTGCAGTGCGCAGCCCCTGCGCAATGTTTCCTCCAGCCATATATCTGTCAGCAACCTTGCTCCCTCCAGATGCTGTAGAAGTCTGTGAGGGGCGGAACGGGAGCTGGAACACGAGACGTCACGGCCCCGCCCTCTCCTGGTGTTCCTAGCAGGGAGAGGGGGTGGACGAAAGGGCCGGGGGGCCCCCTGCGTCACACCGTGAGCGCCGGGGGCGGTCACGTGTTCTGCAGGCCCAACGTCATAAGTACGGGCCTGCTCATCCCACGTGACTCGGCTGCTGTGCCCCCCCCTGGCTCTTGCCTCATGGAGGGGGGGGCGAGCCCCTGGAGTGGGAGACCCCGTGTTAGCCTTAAGCTCAGCGATGCTAACACGCGTTCGGCCGAAGCACACACACCACTACTCACCAGATCCCTCCGCCTGACCACTCTCTGGGAGGGCATAGCATGAACCAGAGAACCAGAGCTCGTAGCTCGCGTAGCGCACTGCACACCCTGCTCTGGGGGCTGCAGGCCTAGCGAAGCAACGTTATGTGCTCGAGAAGTAACACAATCAAAATTCACAAGGTTATTTGACATGTTACATACCCCCAAATGAGACTCAGACAGCGAGTAATGATGAAATGCCGGACGGCCTTTATTGAAAGAATTCTTCCCACCCCGACCTCCTCTGCCATAGGGAGGTCGGCGGTGGGTGCGTTGGTCCCGCGAGCCTCCCCTGGGCCTGTCTGGACCCGGGGGCCTCGTCGAGGGGGGACGATAGGCCACAGAGCGTGGATATGGGTCAGGGCGCCTCCCGGGCGAACGCTCCCTGCCTCTGTCCCAGCTCCGTGCTGGTGGGCGGGCCTCGCGCCTCGGCGCTAGGTGCTGGGCTAGGCTAGCCGAGTCCTTGGCTGCGGTCTCCAGTCTAGCCACCAGGGTCTGCATGTCCGGACCGAAGAGGGACGTCTGGGAGATAGGCAGGTCCAGCAGCTGCCTCTTCTCCGCCTCCCTGATGTTGGCTAGCCCAAGCCAAAGGTGCCTGGCCCCGACTTGAGCTGCTGCCATGGTGCGGCCGCCATCGACAGCTAGCGCCTGGCACATGCGCAGGATCGCCGCTGAAGTGGTCCTTGCCTGCGATAAGGTGTCTCCACTGAGCGCCTGGCCAGAAGAGAGCGACCTATCCAGGGCCCCCGTGATGAAGGCCATGTTATTTGCCACAGCGACGACCTGTGCCGCATTGGCGTAACATCTATCCAGCATAGCCAAAGACGTCCTGTCCCGCTCGGAGGGAAGGAGAGGTCTGGTGCCGGGCCACACGGATGCGGAGGGGTGCAGGGCCATGCGGACCGAATCCTCGATGTCCGGGACCCCGCCGGTCCAGGACCAGTCCTGCACGCTGCAATACATGCCGTAGCCCAAAGCGGGCCTCTTGGCCGCTAGGGGCTTTGGCCACTCACGTGTCGCGTAATGGACGATCGGGTCCATCCGCGGGCACAACGTGGGCTGGGCTCTCCTCCTCCCTCGAGTGGTGGCGTAACCAGAGGTGAAGTCCTCCGCCCTCTGGGTCGGCTGCGGTGGCAGGGGGGCATCCATGATGGCCGCCGCGGAGGAGTAGAGCCCAGGCATGTGGTCCAGTGGGAAGCGGTCCGGCTCCGGGTTCGACACCACCTCGTCCAGCGTGAGGAGGGAGCCGACCTCCGAAACCTCTCCGTCCTCACAGTCACCCCACTCCGCGGGCACGGGTGGAAGGTCGAGTGGGGCCCAGTCAGTCTCAGACTCCTCGTCCTGAGAGGAGTCCGGACGGGGCGCTGCAGCGGCGAGGTACGCACGCCTGCGTTCGCTCTCCTCCCTGGGGAGAGCGAGACACGAGGTGCAGGTGGCGCTCAACGCCGCATGGCCCGGGCCCAGGCACATGAAGCAGCTGGAGTGCTGGTCCGTGCGCTGGAGCCTGACTCGACACGTCGAGCAACAACGAAGTCCGACGCCGGAGGGCGAAGGGGAACTCGGACGAGCATCAGAAGACATCTTTCTCTGGAACGAAGTAAGTACTGGTAGATCTCAATCGGCGCCAAAGTGAAAGAGGGGGTGCGGCCTTGTGCAGGGGCCTTTATAGAGGAGGGTGGCTGGTGATTGGAGCAAATTATTTTGATCTCTCTGGCGCGTGACCTGGGGGTCACGAGTGATATCCCACTAGCGAAGTCCTAAGGGACGTAGCACCATGACGTAGAACTGGTTGATCCAAATTCTGCCTGAATGCACTCCCTACAACGCCTGGGCATGCTCCTGATGAGACCACGGAGGTCCTCCTGAGGGATCTCCTCCCAGACCTGGATTAGAGCATCAGTCAGCTCCTTGACAGTCTGTGGTGCGACGTGGCGTTGATGGATGGACCGAGACATGATGTCCCAGATGTGCTCTATTGGATTTAAGTCTGGGGAACGGGCAGGCCAGTCCAAAACATCAATACCTTCATCATGCAGGAACTGCTGACCCACTCTTGTCACATGTGGCCTGGCATTATCAGGCATCAGAAGGAACCCAGGGCCCACCGCACCAGCATATGGTCATACAATAGGTCTGAGGATCTCATCCCGGTACCCAATGCCAGTCAGGGAACCTCTGGCTAGCCCATGGAGGGCTGTGCGGCTCTCCCTCAATGAAATGCCTAACCAAAACATCACTGACCCACCACCAAACCGGTCATGCTGGATGATGTTGCAGCAGCAGGACGTTCTCCAGGGCGTCTCCAGACTCTGTCACGTCTGTCACATGTGCTAAGGGTGAACCTGCTGTGAGATTTCATAACACTTTGAAGCAACTTTTGTTAAAGTTAAACTCATCATTCTATCAATGTGCAGAAGCCAGTACTTTTCCCTTGTTTTGTCTATCTGAAGGCCAAGCTACAAGCACACCGTGGAAGCTGCTGATTGGAGGTCTCCATGCCTCCGCTCTGTATAATACACTTGCATTCTCTTGTATCTGTGATCGTGTGCTGTGATCGTGCTGTCTCTACCATCGACAATAAAACATGTCTTCTGTCTGAATTAAAGACGCGATCCCAGACTATGTCATCTTCTTCAGGTGGTGGAAGGATGCGGGCCTTGTCTGTAACATCTAGAGAACCGAAGACTACTTTTTTTTTTTACACAAAAAGTGTTTATTTTAAGCCAAAACTGAGAAACCTCAAGAGAATGCATCTGGATCAGCACATGGACTATCTGCACAGCCCCGGATTCCAGTCAGGCCTGCTGTGAGCTGCTGAGACATGGACAATACCATCGTCCTCTTTTGCAAGGACATCATTTGGAACAATTGGATTAAACAATTTGGACATAATTTGGAAAAATTGGATTTCTGAATTTGGACATAATTTGGACTGAATTGGATTTCTGAATCTGGACACTAAAGCTGAAACGTGTGATTGAAAGACACGTCACAGAAGAATTCATGGCTCGACACAAATGCAGCCTGAAGAAACCAACACGGAGAAGTGGGAGAGACTGTTTTCAAAGCAATATCTGGAACCACCATCGATTGATGAAGTTTGGTATTTTACTAAAGATTGTTGACAAGTTTTATGAAAGATCTGAACATGTTTTATGAGTGAGTTTTTTGAAGTATTCCGAGTACCGAGTGAAGTACCGAGTTTATGAGTTTTTGAAGTATTGAGTTATGATGTTATGTTGCTGTTTATCGATCCTGATGGTCACACGTGAATGTATGACCAGGGGGGGAATGTGAGATTTCATAACACTTTTAAGCAACTTTTTTTAAGGTTAAACTCATCATTCTATCAATGTGCAGAAGCCAGTACTTTTCCCTTGTTTTGTCTATCTGAAGGCCAAGCTACATGGCACCGTGGCAGCTGCTGATTGGAGGTCTCCATGCCTCCGCTCTGTATAATACACTTGCATTCTATTGTTTCTGTGATCGTGTGCTTTGTTTGTGCTGTCTCTACCATCGACAATAAAACATGTCTTCTGTCTGAATTCAAGACGCGATCCCAGACTTTGTCATCTTCTTCACTGCTCTCATCCGTGAAGAGCACAGGGCACCATTGGCCAATCTGCTGATCGCTGTGTTCTCGGGCAAATGCCAATCGGGCTGCACAGTGTTGGGCAGTAAGCACCGGCCCAACTTGTGGACGTCAGTACCAACATGCACATTTGTGGTCCTCTGGAGGTCATTTTGTAGGGCTCGGGCAGTGCTTCTCCTGTTTCTTTGTGCACAAATGAGCAGATAGCTGTCCTGCTGCCCCCCCCCCACCACCACCTGTTGTCTGTTTAATCCACAACATCAGATGAAATTGATTCACTATAAGTGTGGCTTCCTAACTGGACAGTCTGATATCCCAGAAATTTGACTGACTTGGAGTTACATTGTGTTTTTTGAGTGTGCCCTAAGTTTTTGTGAGCAGTGTATTTTCGTTTGCCTATCAGTGGACCCTAATTACAGACCGTCAAAGACAACCTAAAGATGGGAACTAAAACACTAAATCTGGACTGGATGAAACAATAGAGGTCACAATTACAAATAGAGTGAGGGTTAGTTTGACACAAGGTCCACTCAAACTGGAGTTTGAGGTCACTAAACACTTACTCAGCCTCAGTCCAAGAAAGGCATTAATAATTAAAGAAGCACTCTGCTTCGTCAGTAATTAACAACTATCGGAAAAATCTGACACTTGATACAAGTCATATGTGAAAGTGAAATGTTGTATCCTCATAAATACCACAGCATAATCTGTTGTCACTGTGCAAACTCAGATATTTATTTTTAATATATATAATGCCTTAAAGAAGTCATAAAAAAGTCAACATCTTTGAACTTTTTTTATTTAAATGTTATACACAAAACATCAGTTTTGTTCTTTTTTTTATTTTTCAATTTAGCGAAATAGCAAATATTTATATATTTTATTTTATATAAAAAGAAAGACTTAAATATTATTACTTCTTATTTACATTTCAAAACAGTACATGAAATAATAACAATTTCAGTGATAAAAATATTACAAAACATTTCCCAATTGAAAACTGTTTAGCAGAAAGTTTATGAATATTAGAGAAAATTTGAAGTAGCGATGTGGAGCTGTTCTACATTCAGTCAAGAACTAGAGGTGTGTTCAACTATCAAATTGTAATTGTGAATTTTGGCCTGCAATTATATTACAATTCATAGTATTTGTCAACTTTCAGAACCTCTTACAAAGGTTGAAAACAGACTCAAAATGTAAGACATTCTACAGCTGAACACACTTCCAGCTCAATAAGGACACTGATCTCTAAAGGGAGTGGGCTTTGGAGAGAAGGCGCATGTCATTTCTATGTGTTTTAGAGAAAATACTGGAGCTAAAAGCACTGTGCAGGTGACCGATTTACACTCGGAAATCAGTTGGTACAATAAAGAAACTCATAATTCACAAACTACTGAAGCTAATCTAAAAGATAGCAAAACAGTATGACTTCTTCTGTAGACAGTCAAGTTTTACAACAAGACTACAAACTAGCACAACCACAGCCTACTCACTTCAATCTTTGAGTCATCTCACAAGTTCAGAAAATTACAGCTCTTAAAACACTATTGGCACCATGAAGGGTTAACTGGTCCTTTGGGGTTGGCCCTTTCAAAACGCGCTGTGACGTTCTGTTCCTGGTTGTCTTGTGTGAGGAATCTACAAAAGGTTTACAATATTATGTCAACACAAAATGTCAACCAAAAATCAGATTTAAAAGTATAATTTTAGGACAAGTTTGGTCTAAAAGAAATGTTGCAGTGAAATGACATAACAATCTTGGACAGAGCTGTTGGAGACATGTTTTGGAGCTGAAATTGAAGATGAAAGCAACAACAAATACTACAAAAAAATGTATGTTTTGAGAGATTGAGCATGGAAATGGGAATAAATAAATTAAAGCAAAACACATGATACAAGTTGAATGTGGTCTGTGTCATAGTGAGACCTGCTCATTCATGATGCCCGACAGCTCTGTGAGCATGTCCCGATAGTGAGTCCTCATCTCCTCCTGATACTCCAGCTGGTCCTCCTTGATCAGCCGCTCATTCACATCCAAGGCTTGACCACAAGCTTCAGCAAACTGCCTGCAGAAAACCATAAAATAGTGTGTAGAGATTAATTGTTTTATTATATGGAACATAACACAAGAAAAATAATGAGCAGTATGAATGCAATACCTGAAAATCTCCTTCAGTAGTTTGACTTGGTTGTCTGGGTATTTCTTGGCATTCTTCTCTTCTAGAAAAGCTCTGGCATAGGCCATGGGTCCAGCATTGACCTACAGATAAAGGCTAATGAGATTTGACAAGAGAAAGGTCTGTGTTTGTAAAAGACACAATGGGCACACCTTAGCGCTGACGCTGCCCTGCAGCTTCAGCTGGAGCCTGATCATATCCACTTCCTCCATGTTGCACAGCTGGTTGAGTTCCGAGACTTTCCGGGACATCTCATCTATAGCCACTTCTATTGGGTTCATTTCAGTACTCTGCTGTTCAACAACCTCGATGCGCTTCTTTAGATAGGGGAAGTATGAACTCGCTGAATCCAAAAGAAGAACATTGTGATTATAACTACGCCCATTTTCTGTAAACAGAGTTAAATGCTCAACTAGAGCCCTGCACGGGCCTATTATCTGGGCCCGAGCCCGGCCCTGGCCCGAGGGGGTGGCGCCCCAGCCCGGCCCGGCCCGATATGGTTTCTGAATTTTCAGGCCCAAAACCCGCATCAAGCCCGCCTTTTTTTTTTTTTTGTAACCTCCCATAACAATGTTTTAGCGTAGTATATAGTGCCGCGCACTGATATGAACGCAGACTTAGCTAGAGGGCGGAGTTATACATGGTAGTGATGTGTTGCAATGAGTTCTGTGTGTGCGGAGTGGTGCAGAGTGAACGGCCGCATCTGTATGATGCCCCCGATGCTGCAACACATCTGCACATTACATAAGTAACGCTATGTGCCGTCAATGACAACACTACACAGAACAACAAACACTACAGCGTGATAGAACGCTATATTCAGTGGGTGCGCTCGTAAATCTATTCTGCCGCTCTGAAAATGAAGAGCCCGAGCCCGGCCCGTGTCCGAGGTCATTATGCGGTCATCGGCCCGAAGCCCGGCCCTCGGGCTGTCGGGCCGTCGGGGCCCTCGGGCCAAGGGCTCAAGTGCAGGGCTCTATGCTCAACTCACTGGTTAATATGGTGCGCCTCTTGCATTGCTCTTCCACATCACCGTGCTTCTTTCCCGACAGAGTGAATGGGGTCTCAAACACAAAACGGTTGATGTTGTGATGCCTTTCAAAATCAGTTCTTTTTTCCTGCTGCTCTTTTTCATCAAAGTGTGGTACCACATAAGTCACTTGGATGTAGGCAAATTTTGGATCCAGGTCTTTAGGATTCACCTATTAAAGAGAGGGATTAGTTATTTATCATGAATTTATAACTTGATTAATGACAAAAAGCTAAGCAATAGCCAAAGTTTGGACTGGAAGACTGAAAATTATACGTTTACATACAGTAATGTAGTAACTGCTGACCCAGTACTCCCATTATTACCTGCACCCGCATCGGCAGTCAGTCAATCACATTGAGCGGTCACATTTGGCCGCGTTTTAAAGATACACAGATTTCTCATTGTGCAGTAACCCTCCTCCTCCCCATCACTGCCTCAACCGCAAGACCATCTTCTTGGGCTGCTCGTCCGAGCAGCCACCACCAAAGTAAAAGCCCATAATTCATAATCTCTATTAGACTTCCCACCTGCCTTTGTCATACAATACTCTGCAGGGATCTAAACGCAAAATCCAAATCTGCATTCATATACGAATACAAATAGATATTATTCAAACACACATTGTCTGCAGAGTCTAAAGTGATAACTTGTGCAGTAACAGATTATTATGCTTGTGACCAATAAACATGATTCTGATATACCCCCTTTATCTGTTGAGATTAAATGTACCTTATTTGAGTCCTGGATCATCTTGACGTTGTCGGCTCCAAATTTGTCAGAGTAAAGTTTGAGTAATCTCTGTGAGATCTCAGACAGTCCCGTTAGCTTTGGTTCCTTGTAGATGAACTCCTTGCTCTCCTCTTCCTCAAAGAAACCCTAGCAGACGACAAGCAAAAGTTATTAGCACAGATAGACAAAAGTAAAACAATAATGTTCAGGTGAGAGCATGCAATATTAATAAGCATATGGTTTATTTTTGACACACACAAACACTGGAGGCATATCAGTTACAGGAGGTTTATATTAAGAGGTAAATCATCAAGGTAAATGGGGCTTATGCACACTATCAAAAGAAGTGTATCTCATCTTTATAGATATTTATCATTTGCAATAATGGAGTATTTTTGCTGTAACACAATATGCATGACAAACTTTGTGACACAATTGTAATAGGTAAAATAATTAAGCAGGAGCAGGAAAAAGGGAAGGTAAGAATTGTTAGCAAAATGTTAGACAAGACACACTAGACTTACCACAATCTTGATTTTTTTATTTTTTATAAAAAGAAAAAGAAGCACAGAAAGATATTGAAGATAGAGACCCAAAATATATTCTAATTTATTCTGAAGTACCTTTTACATTAAGTGGGGGAATGTCCGATGAGTTGAAAGTCTTACCTGGCCATAGAAGGCAACACGATAATATCTGCCGAACAGTCTTTTCTCTGAGTTAACCACCTCCGTCACCTTCAGATAGGAACGATGAATGTCATAATAAAGCTCCGACAGCCTCTGCAAAGATACATACCTGTGTATAGTGTTATCTGCGACGCAAAAATCTGACACACTGAATTAAAAAATTACGTAATACAAACTTTAAAATCCCTCCGCTTTTCAAACACAGCAATGACCGGTTTGTTGATGTCTGCGATGATTTCATGTCGCTCTGACTTCCAGAGGTAGTCTACGCAGAGCTCCAGCTGTTCCACCAGCGTGTCCTGTGCAGAGATGACAGGTTAAAACCACTGCTCCACAAGCGCATCTACTCTGAACAAAAACAAAAACACTTTATTCTTACTCCCAATGTTTGTGGGTTCAACTTAAAGCATACAATTCTAATTTATCTGTGTTGTTAATATTATCCTATACTTGCGTTATTGCACTACTGGTTAGATGGTAAACTGCATTTTGTTGCATTGCTCTGGCTTTGTAATGACAATAAAGTTGAATCTAATAGGCCCAACTCTATAATAAACAGTTAACACTTTTGTCTAAGGAACACCTGTGCAGTATTCATGCCACATCAGTGAGGTGGGATGGATTGTCTCAACAAAGAAGAAGTGCTCACTAAATTTGTGAACAATGTTGGATAGAGATGGGTATATTGTGGGTCTATACAGAGTTTTATAGCTTTAAGTTGAAGCCATGAGAAATGTGCAAAGACAAAAGTGCTTCGTTCATACGTTTGTTCTTTACATTATCTTAATTATCTTTATCAAAATTGCAGGTCATACCTCGGTGTATGGAGTGTCCTGTGTGCCTGTGTCTTCTTTCATCGCCCCTTCCTCCTTCACATTTGGACTGATGCACATAAAAGCCGCCCAGCCCATAGAAAAGGAAGCTGTTTTGACATTACAACAGAAGGTGAAACAAACATAATAATCAACAGTATGAAAGTCACATCTTCGTACATATTGTTAAATGGAATTTTTTGTAAACACGCCATCATTTGTGTGGTGTGAGGGGCACAGTGATATTACATATATGTGTAAAAACAGTCATTGTCAACTACTGGAACAAGTCAATAAGCTCGAGCACACACATATATTTATGTATAATAAAGCTGGGGTACCTAACTTCCTAGCATCTTTCCACAAATAGTACATTGTATTTCTCTCAACAGAAAGAATCCTGTGGAGGAAAAATGTTCAGACCACAACTTTAATTTTGCATACAGATCCCTGAAGTTCCTATTTGAGGCTTTGGGCTGAGGGAGGGTGGTCCTCTCGTTTTAACTTTTCTGCGAGAAAAATATTATCTAAAGAGGTCGAAATGATACATACAGTACTTGTGAAAACTACAGACTGGATTTTATTAGTGTCTTTTAAAGTCTTAACTGTTTGTCGATTATTGTTTTGTGTGTCTGTCTGTTTTAAATTTAACTTAGAGTCTGTAAAGAAGTTGAGTTTAACTGATTTTTTTTGTGGTTTGAAAGTTAGGTATCCCAGCTTAATCAAATCAAATGCATGAACAAAAATTCTACTCTTAACTCACTCTTTTATGCATTATTATGAGCATGCACTTCCACTTTGTTAAACCTTTCTGTGTAAACGTCATGTGACAAATGGGACCGAGATATCTGGGTTTTTAAAAATGCATGTAACTGTCAAACTGAAAACACAATACACTAAAATGCCCCACCACAAGTCGGCCCCAGGCGCACACACTCACGGTCAGCTTCTCCAGAGGTAGTTAGTAAGGAGCTACAGTTAAAGACAGCCCTTTCTTCAGTGGACACAGTGGAAATCCTGGTTTTGTCTGCTCTCCAGTAGCCTGTTTGTAGGGGGGTAGGGAGGAGTGGGTTGTGACTTTAGGGTTTGCTATTGAAGAGAATTTAGCAGGCAGTAAAATATTGTTGATGACATGCAAGTGGAGAAGAGCAAGCAGAGATTTTGATAATGTTGGTGAATTTGCATGTGCAGGACCAAGAAGTGGAGGAGGTATGTGCAAACAGTGTGTTGTTGCTTCAATAGACGGGAATGTCAAAAGAGAATCGCGATATACATAGAAAGTTGTATGTTATTGGAGTTAAAAGCTGGAAGGCCTGTCACAATAACTCATTTTGATGGATAACATATTGCTTAAAAAAAATACTGATAAACAAGAATATTGAAACTACTTTTTTCCACAGATGTAAGTTCAAAACGGCAAACATAATACTAGGTTAAATTTTTCTATTTCATGAGAAAGCATAAAGAAAATAAACAGCTAATTTAAGTAAAATCTAGACTATTCTACATCTAAAAGGTAAAAGGAAAAAAAAATCTCTTCTTATGCAAAGAGAATGTAAACATCATAAGTATCAAGTGCCAAAATATAATGTTTTACCCATCAGTTTTTGAATGAAAAGTAAAAAAAGTAAATATTGTGACAGGCCTGAAACGTGGCATGAGATACATGTTGAAAGAACTGACCTCTTCTCTTCAGCGATTCTGCAATAAGTGCTGATATATGGATATAACACATAGCAGCCTGAAGGGAAAAAAAGATTGCGAGCATGAGCAACAAGTGTAAGGAATATTAAAAGGTGTTTAAGAGAAATCACCTCAGAGAGATCCCCATTGCGAACATGGACCTTTGCCATACTTTCCAACCATGTGCGGCGGAGCTCGGGCGTGCTCGCGTACGAGTTGGCCAAGCTGTACTGCAGGTCAATCAGCATTTCTGGGTCTTTCTCGTGCTCCTTCATCTGAGCTGTGGCCATCAGAACTGTTCGAATCCTTTTGGTCAGGTCTTTCACCTCTGCTGGGAATGGTGTGTTCTAAATTCACATAGAAAAGGTGTGAAAAGATTGAGAACTTCAGGTACAGATATTTAGCTGTTTACTGTACTCTCATTACCTTAAGATGCATGTCCCCATTAGCAAAATTATTAATGATGGCGAGAGACTGTTGAAAACGCGACCCTCCTATGCCAGCATCGGCTATCAGCTGACTCACTGCTTTGATGACCTAAGATTAAAAAGACAATATTTAGACTAGAAGATTGCCTAAGTTCAATTGTATTCATTCATGTTTGAGTTAGGATTTCTTGTGGGTGGTTGACAAATAATAATAATAAGAGTGGAAAACAAATTATAAATATATTATTAACAATAAAGTACAGTGTAGTCCCAAACCTGTAGGTGTGAGCGAACAATAGACTTGCCCTTGGTAAACTCAAAGTTCTTTCTCATTACAAAATACAAGAGAGCGGCTGCTTCCATCTGAGTGGAGCTGGAGCGATGATTACAGCACTTGAGGATCTCATAACAGAGACAGCCACACAAGTCTGCCTTACCCTGGAAAAATGCACTGGGGAACTAAACAAAACATCAGAAGTTAACATACACGGGTAACATCAACATAATGTGTATATGTCCGTAATTGATCCGTAATTCTTGACTGACTTTTTGAACAAAAAGTCGGAGAGCAGCAAAGACATGTCGCAGCGTGGAGGTGGACTGATTGATCTGAAAGTAGAGCATGTAGGTGTCCAGGACCTTCTTCATCACTACATTCTGTCCTTCATCCAGCAACAGTTGTTTCTGGAAAACAAATACAGAAAAACTAGATAATAGTATATATACCGTCTCCAAACATATAGCAACAGACATTTGCGTGAGACAGAATCTTGCTCACACACTCTTTAGCCACAAGGTGGCAGTACTGGGTAGTATTAATTTGAACTGAGACATTTTGCATTTGTTCTTGATTTTTCTGTTCTCTTGTCAATATTTAGTAAGGCATTTGAAAAAGACAACTTTTTCCCCACAACTAAAATGTTCTTTTAACACACACAGTGGAAAGGTAGAGATTGTGGGCAGAGACCTTGTGATGGTGAACAAACAGCTCCAGCACGTCCAGCACAGTCAGGGACACCTCTGTGGACAGGTTCGCTTCTACGTCTGTGGGATTGCTATCTCCCTCTGGAATATTCCCATCTACACACAAAGTCATATGTGGAATGTCGAAGTATGTACCGTACCCTTAACAAATCCTTACTCATGCGTTACCTGTCTCCATCATCTGTAGCAGCTTAGGGTTGGTAAGTGCATTCTTCCCTCTGATGATGGGCATGGTTTGTGAGCGAGCATGTCTGTGACCATCTCCAGATGACATCCTACACAACAAACATCCAAACATCATGGCAAGCTTCCAATTATAAAAGATTAAATACTTACAGACATTCAAAAACAGAAAACATTTTGCCATTAGGGGAGTGACAGATTCAACTGTTGGACACTGACTGGACATGCGTGGGATACAGAAACAATTGACAACAACAAAATAACCACAATGACTACTGTCACGATGAACACAAGATTTAGGGCTGGATGGAATGCAAACACTTAAACAAACATTTATGTGCACTCACAGTACATTTGGATTTGAGATTGTGTACGTGCGCATAGCTATGCGGATATTAGCAACAGGTATTAGGACAGAGGTGTTGGCTGCTTGAGGTTGAGGGTGGTTACCATTGTGGAAGGATACTGGAGGGTTGAGAGTGCTGGGAGGAATGGTTAGAGGCCTTCAGGGTGCCATTAGCCTGGGTTGACTGGGCCAGCTTTACTGCCGCTGCTAGTTTCCTGTTTATGACCCAATCACACCAGAGCTAACATTGGTTAATCAAGATCATCACTCGTTAAGCTTTACAACCTCAGTTAATTCCAGGAAAAGCTTTATTTTACACTTGGTTTTTTAATATATTTACAGCAATCACATAATAATGTTTCTCACATTTAAAAACGTTACTGGACTCAAAAGGACCTCACAGTAGTTGGAGTCAGTAACAATATGGTGTTAGTTTGATCAACATATGACAGTGAATATGGAGAATTGCTTTATGTTGTGTAACATGGAAATACACATAGCAAATTACTTCCATGGAAGGCTGAACGTGACATGTTTCTAGATTTGTTGGAGCAAGACATCACGAAGACAGGATGATCACATTAACATGCAACACTTGACCCATCCTGGAACCATGCCAATCATGTCAACATGGAGAAACAACACTTAAGAGAATACATATGAAGACTGGGTGAAAGGGAAAGAACACCCATGCAAGGATGATAACAACAGCATTTTATAGAATACATGAATGTTTCTATGCACATGTTAATTAGTACGATGGTAATAGACGCATGAGGCTCGCAAATATGCAGAGTAATTGTTCATATGATACGTGGTGCTCACACTGACTCAGATATGGTCTAAATGAGCTAACAGATATCAGAGACAGACTGCGAGGCTGTGATCCCCTGGGCTTATATTTACAGATGAATGTTAAAAAGAGGCTGCAGACAGGCTAAGCACTAGCCATGGGGCCCACAAAAAACATGATACAAACACTGAGATCTTAAGATAGCTCAGCTTCAGCTTGCATTGATGAAATTACACTTGTCTATTTTACAAGGAGCCAAAAATGCACAACATGGGGGTCAACGAGTTAGCGCAATGTTTTTCACGCCGCATTCCTAAACCTATGTCAACTACAAGAAAATAATTCTGCTTGACTAGATTCTTCTCATGGTTTGCATCTTGCTGTGTGAATTTGCACATGGATGAACAAATGTGTCTGTTTTCATGAATTATGCATTCAATCGGGATGCTGGTCAGGTATGTGGGTTGAGATAATAAGATATTTCCATAGCAGCATACTATAAAGGCCTTGGTAAGACAGAACAGAACTCACCTGGCTATATGGCGCTTTCCGAGGAACCTGAAATGCTGAAGACATAACCTAAAGAAGAGCAATTGATACACATTTAATCATTTGTTTTCTTAGTGAAATGCATGAGCTAAATCATATTGAATCGGTTACTTGTCTTTCTGTAGGTATTTTTGTGATGGTAATTGTAATAGATAGATTATTAACTTACTCTAGGATGTTAAAAAAGTCAGAGATCTCCTGGTGAATAGCTCGATGCCAGTATGACACCAAAACATCTGAAATGAACAGTCAAACATGACGTCCGATACTGATGTTGACTACTCATATTGTGTTCATTACGTACCCTCAGAAATGGTCTTCATGATGTGTAAAAAGCACATTAAAAGGCTTCGGGTCTCTGCCTGATCTAGTTTGTCACAACGTGATCCATAACCAATTAAGGACTGGGGTCTAGCAAACTGATCAGAACAGAAATGTGACAGTTGATTGTGATGTAATGACTACTATTAGTTTAACAGCTTGTTTTACCTTTTCACATCCATCCATCTTCTCACTGTTCCTGTCACTGTTGCTAGGGTTTGAGTCCACGCTTATCAGAGAGCCCCTTGAATCGGCCTGGTTACCCGTGGCAACTGCCAAGGAGGAGAAAGCTGATAGAGGGGGAGGGGTGTCTTCAGAAATGTCTCATTCACATCTTCCATTCAAAGCCCAAGTCATCAAGACACATATGTTCAACATGCTTGTTCACCTGTGATGGAGTTCAGCACTTCTTTGGAGAAGGAAGCATCCACAGAGTGGCCATGGCGAGTCACAGGAAGGACTGTTCCAGCCACCCCCACACTCACACTCAGGTCATCCCGAGAGCCCTTCAAATGTTGTATCACGTTAATTGGGGAACCTGATTCCAATGCAATGTATTTACTGTCGCTTACTTGATCACTGGAGGTGAAGTAGATTGGAATAATGTCCCTGAGGAAAAATCGTGGCATGTTGTCCAGGATGAGACCATATAAAGGAAGGTAGAGGGAAGCTATTCTTGATTGTTTCTCCTGTAATTTGAACAAAAAATTGGTTTGCTATTTTTTTTCTTTTTTTTACAAATTCAAGATTCTTGGCCAACACACAAACCAACCCTCATAGAAATATGAACTTTTTAGGCGCCAGTCAAAGTTGCAATACAATTGCTACAGCCTAAATCCAGGTTTCACAACCTGGTGCCCCACTTACCGACACTATTCTTAGATCTCTTTCTATTATTTATTTCTGCTATTGATTTTTGTAGTCCTCAAGTTATTATACAGTTTCAGGGCTAAACCTTTCCCCCACTTGAAATTTCAGGGGGAAAAAAACCTCTGGCGCTTAAAAAATATAAGTAACAAATAAAGAAAGGCCGCCTTAAATCAAAAAATAACATGAGAATGGTATGGCCCCTGAAATAGATTATTATCTATGTATTTTGCATAAAGCCCAACCTAAGACTGATTCAAGGGTACCTTGGTTGCATAGCGTGCATCCAGAGAGTGCTTGGCCATAAGACTCTTGAGCGTCGCTAAAGCCAGGTGTCTGAGATCCTGCTCGTCCTGGAGAGCCAGCCCCAGTTCCCGAAGCAACAGGCCAGTCAGAAAGTGCTTCCTGCAGAACTCTCCGGTCAGATTGTACTCAGGGATCGAAGCTGAAGACAGCGACAGGTCAGGATTTAAGTCAAATTGTCAGTATTATGATCAAAACGTACAATGCACACACAGAGAACAAAGTGACAATAATGGACATATTTACCATGAATACTTTGTGGCTCTGGGGATGCGTGGTCTGATATGGACAAGAGGATAAATGAGGGACAGAAAGAGCGTGGTGTTAAATGACCAACAAATGGAAATGCACAATAAACAAACAAACGCAAATACATGTTTACTGCACTTACCTGAGATACGTGCAGACGGTAATGGCAGGCTCAGGGGGATGTAGTGTTCGTGGTTACATACATCTCTCAAGAACTCAAACTTCAACTCACACAGGGCCTAGCAGAAGAGACAGTTTATAAACATATGGACTCGAACAGTGAGTAGCTACGGACAAGTTCCATCAGAGGCCGAACTGGTCGTGAGCCGAAAGAACAGAGGGGAATTCCTTTTCTTATAATTTTTTACATTATGACGTTTTTTGACATAACTTTTATGTGACATGAGTTTCACTATTATTTTCTGGTTGATTTGTCTGAAAACAAAATGTGTCTATTATTAAGATTTAACCAAAACTGGACCAAATAGAAAAGTTTAACACATGGAAAATGGTATTCCATTACCATCAATGCTGCAAGTTAATAGTATTAATTAAAAATAATTTTAGAGGCCACTAAAAATTGTCTTGTGGACCGGATTTGGCCCACGAGCCTGAGGTTACCTTGCTGTCAGTTGCTGTGATCATGTTGACGTAGTTGCTGATGAGTTTGAAAGTAAAGCCTCTATCCATCATTGTAAAACAGCGCTGCAGAAAGTACAGGATGACAATATGATGACTGTTCACAAACTACTATTGTTTTTGTCAATCTCCTGTGGATTTGACTCTTACTTTGACAAAAGCAGCGACAGCTCCATTAGCGATGCGTGTTTCCTCTGGCAAGTCTTTGTTTTTCCAGAATATGTGTTCGGACACCGTTTCCACAAGGGACTCTACACGGCTCAAGTAAGAGGAGGGAAAGCGCTGTGGTCTGGGAAGCTGAATGTACAAAAGAAAAGAAGAGAACAAATGCTCTTTTCTAACTCAAGTCGTTGAAGACACTACAATATCTATGTTTTACCTTTACTTTGTTGCCATCTACCAAATGTTGTGCCATGGACTTTATAATAAGCTCAAAGAAGAACCAAGAAAACTGAAATAGTAAATCAATTATTATTAGTTTCTTCAAACCAACCTAAACAGAAACAGTTTAATGAAGATGAACCTTGAGTATGTTTTTGACAGCTGCCTGGTCATTGCTCTTCAAGTCAAACGTCATTCCTTTGGCCAACTCTTCATGTACAGTTCTGAAGCCGTGTGCTTCTGTCTTGAACACGTACTGTATGAAAACAATGTTTTTTCACTTTCAGGCCAAGTCTTCAATGAGAAATGAAAATGTAAAATGTTGACATAGGCTATCTTCGGGTGGAGGGTCCATCACCTGCTGTCAAAATTCACAATACCCTTTTTCTTGTTTCCATGGGGATTTGTATGCTATTTTCATGCAAAACAATAACATCTCAAGGAAGAACAGAATATTTCGGACCGTCTCACTAAAAGCGGTGCCCCTTTAAATCTAGATAAATCGCATGTTCATGTAAAATTGATTTGCAGGCACAGTGACACAAGCTTTCCCTCGGCACGCACACGCTATGGGAGCATCTCGTAGTGGACATTATTCCAATATGTTGCATAGCAACATAAACCTGCTTTTACCTCCCGTCAACCATCTTGAAGCACTGCAGTTTACTAATCTTCACAAATATGAGGGGAAAACGGTTTTCTGTAACTATAGGGCAGCTTCTTTGATACACATGTTTTTGATTAAGCAAACTAAATGTAGCTGTCTCCCAACTGAATCAACCCTTTTTCATCATGCAGGCAAGCTCTCTTTTTTCTCTTTTGGCATTAACAGAAATTCTTGGAACAGCCATCGCACACTTTCCTTCAGTTTCAACCATATAAATAATTACCTTTATATAAGAGTGGAGGAAATGATCCAAGTTTTCTTCATGGCATTTAGAAACGACATGAACCAGCACTCTGCAAAGATTAAACAAAGATAATAAAACTTTTAACTTTGTTGCTTTTTTACGTTTTAAAGACAGATCTATTGTGGTCATGATCTCCATAAATTCAACAACATTTATGAGCATTTATCAACATTTATGGACATTGGTCATCTGTCCCTTATGGACTGATACCAATGTTTTTTCTGTTTGATTCTCTGGTTGCGTAAAGTCCTTCGAGATAACTGCTGTTGTGATTTGGGGCTATACAAGAAAACACTGAATTGACTGATCTGGAGCCCTGGTGGAAACAATACCATGACTCACCTCGTGGTGGCGGTAGTAACCTGCTCATTGTCATTTTCAGTCAAAACCTTGAAGAGCTGATTGAAGAGCACAGGCAGAAATCTGATCATGACAGGGATTCTTTCCATACTGAGGAGACCCTGAGAACAACCCCGCCAAAAAACAAGTTACGTTCTGTTTCAAGTTAAATAATGAAATATGTCTTTGGATCATCGCCAACCTTCAGGCAGTTGAGGAAGTTTGAGGTAGGAGGTGAAGAGAGGTCCAGCTCTCTTTTCTGGCACTGCTGAAAGAATCTGTTCAAGTGTGGGTCCTGGGACCAACAGAAAAAAAAAGATTTACAACCTGGTGTTTTGTAGAAGTTAGGCTAAAACCAAAGTCTCACCTGAGTGTATACAGTGGAGATCACATTGGTGGACACTCTAAAAATGGCTTTTCCTCCATCCACCCACTTCACATCTGCGCTGCTCTGTAATGTACGACCAACATTATTAGCAGTATTTCTATTATCAATATTTTTCAGCACTTTTTCACCAAATTGTGTCATTCTTCAACCCCAAATTATACAGTTTATTGTAACCTGTAGTAAACGAATTTCCTTGGATAGATTAGGCTACGAGTTTAACAGTCTCGGGAAAACATTTTTCATGAATAATTTTTATTTTATGATATCTTATTTTTAGAAAAAACTGTAATTTGAAATAAATGTGAACAAGGCCTATTAAGGTTTGAATTATTGCTCTGTGTTTAAATATTCATACATGTCTTAAAATACCCTCACCTTGCTGTTGCCTTCCTTAATGCCCAGGTAGCCGGGCGGAAGGTTTGAGGAGACCGAGATGTTGAACTCTTGAGTTGTGAGGCGGCCTTCTTTCAGGAGCGGCAGCCATGCATATCCCACTGCATGAGCAAAAATATATGAAACTGGTAAATGTAGTAATATATGATGTAAGTATTGTAGTGGCTTTCACCCACCTGTTGTCTCCAGAGATTCTTTCCTTTTTGCATTTGTCTTTGCATTAATATCACATGTGACATGATAAAAAGAGAAGAGGAGGTGGTGCTTTTCATCCAGATGTGTGGGAAGCTCCATCTTAACCTGAGGATTAAACATAAAGAGTACAACAAAAAGTTCATTCTGTTTTCTTATGTTTAAGGCTTAGAAGGTTCTTTTAATTAGATAAAACATTTAAAGAAGCTAGTACTGCTTAATCTCACAGATCCGTCAGACTGAAGTGAATCTCAAGTGTGAGCCAAGGAGAAAGAAGCGGGGTACACAGACCATGTGGGCTTTCACATTAGGTTAACACTTGGGATTCATTTCTCCAGAGACCATAACGGGGCGGGGGCGCGGCCACTCTGACGGTTCTCACAGATCTGTCAGAGTGGCTGCAACCGGCAACAACAGCTGATAAGAGACGCGTCACACCATCACATGTCACCTCTGATGAAGGCGGAAGTATATCGCAGAAACATGTCAGGTAGCTAAGCAGTACTAGTACTTTAAAATTGTTTAATTATTAAAAGAGGCCTTAACCATACAATAAAGGTGAAACTCAAAGTTCTAATATCCTTCAAAAGTCCATTAACTTCTGTATACTGTATGACAGACTCATTATTGGCGAAGTGAGATATTTTAGTTTTAAAGTTGAGAATTGGAGAAACATCTCAGAAAATTAGAATATTTAGTTTACTGTAAGCCAAAATCATCAACATTGTAACAAAAAAAGGCTTGGATTTTGTCACTTTGTGTGTAATAAGTCTATGTCATACATTGGTTTCACATTTTAAGTTCAATGACAGAAAGTAACTTTTGAACAACAATCTACTCAGTTGGTAGAGCATTGGCCTTTGGGCCTAAAGGTCGTGGATTCGATCCCACCGTAAGACCTACTTCACGACTCCCACTGATGTCTGCTCTCGTTGTGTCCTTGGGCAAGACACTTAACCCCACTTTGCCTGAAGCCCCCACTGGAAGATCTCAGCTCCTGTGGACTCACCACCTGCAGGAGGATCAGTGAGGGGCTGGTGCTCTGTGTACTGGGTGCAGATCTGACTCCCCCCCGACCCAGAAATGGATTAAGGGGAAGAAAATGGATGGATGGATGAACAACAATCTAATTGCCTGAGTTTCACCTGTAAGTGCTTGTGCAGGGGGCTTTAAAGAGTAAAGTCAAAAACACAACATTGTGTCCATGCGTGTAACAAACCTCATCATAAAAGTCGGGGTTCTGAGAATGGTGCAAAACTGTGGACCAGGCTGCTGTGGTGAAGAGTGGCCCTCCTGGCTTGCCATAGATGCACTAAGCAAAAACAGGTTTGTGAGTTTAAAAGTACAAAAAAAACAATAACATTAATCTAACAAGCCACTTTGTTTATTACTTTTACTGGCTTGGCACTTTCCTCGTCTGAGCTGCGGAACTCGACATACACAGTGAGATTACGAGCCTGCGAACAAAAGGACCATTGTAAGGTTGATGCATCTTTCCACGGACAAAGCAGCAGCACAAAAGAGAAAAAACATGTCTTTTGGTTCATAATTTCTCCTTACCTTGGCAAAACTCTTCTGGCTGTCATACTTTAGGTGCTTAGGGTAGATGTAGATGTGATTTTTGTAAACACGGTGAGGCTGAGTAAATCTAGTTGTGTCTTGGACAAACTCCTCAACCTCCACTGTAGGCTGGTGTTTGCTCAGTTCTTCAAATGGCTTTACTGGCACATAGGAGGAGGTCAAGCAGTCTAAAAATATATACAATGTTAATTATGCCTCTCCAATCCCCGGTGAGAGAGCATAGGTAAGATTTGAGGATACATACTTGGATGCTCCAATGGCACATAGTCCACTGTAATGTCCAGAGCGCCCGGAATAGTTTGTAATTTGCTTGTTTTTTCAGCCCTGGATACACATAATCAGCAGATATATGTAATATTACATTAGAAAGCATATATTTACACATAATAAATATTTAAATCTACCAATGTTTATTCTGGGGGGTGTTTAGCGCCTTACCTTCTGAATTCATTGATTAACTTCAGCAGGTCATCAGTGGATATCTTGTTGCTCTCCTGTCTGAAAAGAGGTGAGAAGCGAGAATCTCGATCCAATGCTCCGTGGTTGTCCTTAAACACTGACCTGTAAAAACAAATATCAAATGTCTTCATCTATATCTGAAAATACATTTAGAATGAAATGAGAATGAGAACAAACCTCACAGCCCATGCAAAGGGCATGCGGTACTTCCCCAGTTTACTGCAGAAGTGCTTGTTGGATTTAATAATCTTCTGCACGGTCTGCAAGTGAAAGGACATCATGTAAAGACAAATGGACAGAGAATTCAATACTGTGTAAGATGAGACATCCTGACTTACTACAGACCTTGTCTGGCAACCAACTGAATAAACAAACATGTATTCCGTATACCGCACAGTGTAACGTTTCAGCACTCTAAATCCTTACATTTTAGTACATTATGAGTACATTAGAATAGTATTAATACTAGAGATGATATCCAAATCTCACAATACAACATTTCTTTTGATTAGGAAGAGGTAAAAAAGGTGTGAAATAGCCCAAAATATTGTGTTTATGATACATATACAATAATATACAATATATATATACAATAATAAAAAAATTAACTGGCTTCACTTAAAAGTGCAAATTTGAGTCAGTAACATCAAAGCACTATTACACTGGTAATATTTAGTCACATCAATATTTCTTACTATTATTACTGTATATCACACGCTTTGTATTTGAAAATGTACCTAAATACATGCTTCTTTAAAAAAGAATATTCTTAAATCATCACTTAAAAGCAACCCCCTTTCAGACCTTGCAGGAGTCTGTGTTCTTGATGTATGGTTCTGTCCCAGATGCAATGTTTCCCATTAACACTTTTTCCACTCGAGCCACCATCACTATGTCAGTGTGGGGGTTGGTCACTGAAAAGATTGCCTGCAAGTAAACAGTCCAACTGTCAGTTTTCAAAGAAGAATTTCTTTACAGATGCAACAGATGCACAGTAAATATATTGTACCTTTTTGGGAAAGCAGAGCCAGTGCTCCAATTCTCCACTGAGGAAGCAGTCCCCTGATTTCTTTTCTGAAGGACAGAGGCCGTTCTCCTGAGCCACATGCCCCCCTGCCAGATCGTTTGTCCCATTACAGCCACCCCTGAGAATCTGACGCACAGCATCATGGTTCAAGTCCACGTGGAAATCTGCAGAGATTTTTTTGCCCTCTCTTGTATCCATGAGGGCCAACGACACAAAGAAAGGTTCAACCTGGAACAACATACAGGCAGGTAATTACACAGAACAGACAACATACAAGTCAAAAGGTAGATTGCTTTTTGTTTGTACATTTGTTACTGGCTCAGTATCCACTTCATTGATGGAGCCCTGCAGCATGAGGTTAAGGCTTCGACAGCTGACCATAAACCGCCGACCTAACTTCTCCTCAAAGGGCCGCACAGTTGGCTCAGAGGATGAATGTTCTGACCGTGGGCTCCTTAGCACCTATGCAGAGCAAAAGATATGTTATCGTTTCAAATGTTTAAAAGACATGCAGAGGATTTGTCCAATGATACATACAGGAGTGTCAGGATCAAGGGAAAAAAGATTTAGTCTCTCCTCCCTCCTGGCACAACGAATTCCCTCATCGGTCTCAGCAATATACTGGAAAAGTGAGCACAAGGGTAAATGAGAAGAAGTCTGACTTGACCTCTTGAGGTTATGAAGAATGAAACAGAAAAGGAAGTGTGCATGCTTTTATTCTAAAAATGTCTCACAGTCAAGTACATAGAATAATGTTGTTCATTAAACAGAACATTATAGCAATTGCTTTGTACAGCGATACAGAAATTCAGCCAACCTTTGCCAACTCAGGATTGACTCCATTCTCTGTCGTTTCTTCATTCTCCTGCAAACAGCCGTCACCCAACGACAGATCGAACACATCTGGAGACGACATAAACACCGCTTTATTTATTATAGTTTTGATTTATGGCCGTCACCAGATGCTGGAGCAGCATTCAATTCAGCGACTCAATCTTGTTCGAATAATAATACTAAAGTAAACGGTTATTGTGACAGTATTTCTAACAATAGCCTCACCCTGGCGGTGTTCAGTAAGGTCCAAACTCTTGCGGTCCGGGACAGGCGCGTCATGTGGACTGATTTGTAAAATACGAGACAAAGTACTGATCCACTCCTCCATGTCCTGCTCACTCTCCGCGGCCAGCACGAAGTACGTCACGTCATTCATCTTCAGCTCGAAGGCATGCTTCCTCAAACGGTTGTTCTAAGAAGAAAAGAAGACGTTGAAATATGAAAGTGTGGTTTAACACAGAGGAAGCTGAACAAACCTGTACTACACCAGTGCACGAGTCCAGGAAGATGCACCCTTTGGGCTCTTTGGAGATCTTTTCATCTTTGTAGAAGTTCATGATGTAAGAATTGTCTGTCAACTGAGTCAACTGAAAGTACCTCCTTTTGAACGACTGTAAAACAGCGAAACTGGCGGTTAAAATGTCAGTTGACATTTCTTAAAAGGGCCTTATGAAATATCTTTGTTCATGAAATTATGAACACAATTTTAAGTAAAAGTAAAAAAAATATATATATATACATAAATAAAAATACAATATCTATGTTTATGATTTCCAAGCAGATTATCCAATCCAATCATAGAATGGATTACCAGGTCGTTAGGTGAAATTTAGCTGGTCTTGGCTCTAACGTTTTTAATAATAATAATACAATTTACAACAAAATATCACCATACATTTGTTTAAATGAAAGAAGATACAAAAATAACCACTCACACATATTACACAGTTTTTAAATCCTATTTATCTTAACTCCAGCAGGTGGATTGTATCAGGATCAGTGCTGAGAGCAGGAATACTCTGGCAGCAAAAGTTGGATTGCAGTTGTCGTGACTTTATTAGAACACTAATAGTGCTTATTACATTCGGCCCCTTTAAGACAAGATGTTTTATAGTAACTGATAAACTAATAAAGAAGATAAAAGAGTGTGTGATCAGGGAGGCCTTACTCGAACAGTGATGCTGTTGTTGACAGTACTATTAAAGTTTCCCTTGTAGAGCCAGCCTGACCGAAACACTCCATTGCATCCTATGCCCGACCCGGCCCCTCCTCCTTTGGATGAGGATAGAGAGGTGGTGTCCTGTAAACACAAACACATTTCCATGATCCAACAGAGAGCAGGCGATCGATGGAAGAAAGGAAGTTTAAATACTTATTACATTGGCCATCAGCCATTTCTTCATCTAAATGATGCCCTTGGCGTTAATGCTGCGAGCTAAAGACTTTTGTAAAGTATTTCTAACAATCTGAGTGGCAGTAAACTAATTTAAACAAGAGACGCAGGATGTTTCTAGCTTGTGATATATTCATACTAAAAGCATTCTGTCAAGCGACAACTTCTACTGACCTCATCCTTGTCCACATCCTCATAGTCGATCTCAAAACAATGGGATGGTAGCTTCTCTGCTTTGAATAATTTTCTGAAAAGTCATAAAAAGAAGAACACGTTCAACAAAATAAAAATATCAGCAAAATAATAGTAATAATAAAAAAGATATATCTATTTTAATTATATGCATGTGTTTAATTTTCACTGTTTTTTTGTTATAATTTTTATTTATTTGTTATTCAGCTGTTTAAAATATCGGGGATCTCTGCGATAAATAAAGTGCTTGTAGTTGTTGGACTTGTTATCGCAATGTAGCTCCCGGTGTGTCTTGGTCTATGTCCCGGTAAATCTACATCCTGCTTAAAGACCTGACTAACTATTGGGGCACAAAAGTGCAGTGGTATGAGGAGGACATTCCAGCGGTCAGAGGGGCGGCCTCTGTGGGACTGGGAACACGACTGATTGACAGGATCATTTAAATAAATCGCTGGATGAATGAGAGTCACAAAGGCGTGTGTTTGTAAAGCTGAGAGAAGAAACCCGTGCCTCTGTCATCTATTTATATAAACACAACGTCCTGTCTGATGTCCATCTTATTTTTGTTTAGATCACCTTGTTTAAAGTTGGTCCATGTTTATGCTAGACTTGTAATGTATATTTTACCTCTTAAACATGGTTCTGGGGGAGGGCAGTACCTGGGCAGGAGGCGGTAGTCTCCAGCGTAGTCTTCATGCATGAACTGGACTACATGCAGGTCGGAGTTGTAAAACTTACAGGCCTGGTGAAAGATGTTACAGATCAAAAACAATTACAAAAATATGCTTCACAGTACATTTTGATTTCTCTCTACAAACAGTGGTGGTGAGATTAAACTGCCCTGGGTCAGACTGATGCAAGGCCTTACTCACACACGTACCAGATTCATATAATAATGCTTCTGACATAAAAGAGTATTTACTTTTCAATGCAAGAACATGTGAACCAAAGTGGGGTTCATGTGGATTTGTTTACTGTAAAAACTTAGAGAAACTATTGGACTTATGTTGTTTTATACATCCAGTATGTTTATTGTGCTTTGGCAAGTATTTAATCAAAAAGTGGAACTCACATGAGAATTTAATTTAGGTTGCCTTTTCAATGTTGAAAAACTTTTAGAATTGGTTTTATAGTTCACATTCCTCTCACTGAATTGTGGTTCTGAGCTCTCACAAAAAAACATCCTGTCCTGGATTGAGATTGATAAAGGTGCAGATACGAACAACAACAGATTCAGCCGTGATTTACAGTAAGTTCCTTTTTAAAGAAATTGTCATTGTAATTTGCGGTGATACTGGTATAAGGGCACATGTCGAATATATTCTAGTGTTTTCATCATTATTCTGAACATTGTTTTTTACTGCTTAGGTTCTTTGTTGAAAGAAAACTACTGATTGAGATTTTAGGGATGCAGAGCTGTGACTATAGTCATGGTCATAAACTGTAGTTCTCTCTGGGGACTTCCCTTTGAGATGTCATTTGTAAACATTAAAGAAAGGCCGTAGTGAAAACAAACAAAGCAGAGCAGCTTGTTGCCTCACCTGTCTGACCAGCAGACACTCAGCCTGTCCCTCTGCTCCCTCTGGGACCGTGGACTGGAGAGTTCTCCTCTCCTGAGGCACAGTGGACACCTGCAGACACGATCCCACAGGATGTTAGACGCTATGTGTGCAGTCATCTGTTGAAGATCTTTGCTCCAGACTAAAACAAAATTCTTACCTTGAAGTCATTGTCAGGGAACAGCAGCAGGTCTTTCAGAGGATCCTCGTTCAGCTCATCCCCCAGCTCTGAGACCACCGCCTCATAGTCCAGAGGGTCAATAAGCTTCGGCTTCTCCTGCTGTGAAAACACATACTTCGACTTTAATCACATGTTCTCATTTTAGATCAATACTAGCAAGTCATACTAGAATACAGTAAAGTGAAAAACGAATGGATCTTCTTGTGAAGGAAGTATAGTCATTACATTTGGAAAATACCCTAACATTTTCACTTTACTGGAAACCAAATCAATGTATGCAAAGGTAAATTATGTGAGTAGATAAGGATATGTGGATCTAATTTTACAATAATATGAACGTAGAATATAGAGTTGGCTTTATGAGTTCTGTTAGTAGAAGACACAGAGGCAGCAACAAAACTAAAGCTGTAGAGGCTGCGGTCTGAAGCAGAGGAAGTGGATCACACGTGGTCCCACACACACACACACACACACAATGTAGCCTGTCAAATAACCTTTATAATTAGCATATTTAGCAGTTATGTCTATTTTGAATTTCAAATGTCTAAACAATAAAAACAACATAAGAGAAAACATTGAGACACCTTTAATTTAATAGTTTGACAGCAGCTATTGTGATGATTCAAAGTTTTAGGGATTTCCTTCAAGCATATACAACTTTTCAATATTACTACAATCAACAGCAAGAATAAAAAGCCGGATTTGCACAATAACAAAGGTAAAAGTAACATACTATACTTAGCCGTGCGAAATCCGAGCGCACACGTTTGTTCTTTGTTTTTCTCCTGAAAGTAATCTTGCTTCTGAAGCTCATTGCCTCAAGTGAAAAGTAGAAAATAAAAATTAACTGGATGAGTTTGAGCCAAGAATGGATTTGAATATCGTCGTGATGTGCGGCATCAGAGTGGGACTGAGAGTGCAGAGCTGGGGGACTACATGTGCATGCAGAGGAAGTAGATGTATGACGTCCAACTTATTTTACCACAAACCAATATGCTAGGATTTGCCCTAAGAATCTATGAAAATGGTACATCACATAAATTAAAGTACTTTATCAACTACTTAATTCTAATGAAGTAGTTTAAAAGTACTACATCTTTACTTAAAGAATATTTTTTACATTTTTACATTTTTTACAATGAATCACTTCCTCTGTTGAACCTCATAGCAGAACATAATCTGTCACAGAGGAAGTTTTGACAACACGCACTAACAGTGGCACCAAAATCTGCATAAAACAATTCAACAATATTTAAAAAAGGGTTTAAAAAAGCAGTATATTCAAAACTCCAGGAACCAGGAAATACATGCGCATTATTCCTGTTCTCTGCTCTGACTTCCCGTGGGTCAGAGAATAAACTTCAAAGTCTATACTGATGAGCACAGGGGCTAGCCTCTTGCTGGGACTCCGAGGAGCACAGGGACTAGTCTCCTTCTGGGATTCTGGGAAGCACAGGGACTGGTCTCCTGCTGGTGTCCAAAGTGAAGATGAAACATGGCACTTCAGCCATCACTTAATGCCATTGCTTAATCTAGTAATCTATCCTTTTGTTACACCCTTAAATGCAAATTAATGATACATCTTAGAGAAAACATATATCATTGTTTAATCAGTCTCTAGAGCAATGTTGGTGTCAGGCAGGAACAGTCTGTGTAAAACTGTTATTGTAGTCAAGTGATTCAAATTCTGTTTACTACTTTTTCTTCAACTGCACATAAAAGATTTGTTTTATTCAAAATCAATTTGATTAATAGTTTCATTCCTAGAGACAGTGTTTCAGATAAATGCAGGTCAAATCTAGAAAAGTCTTCCTGATAATAAAGACAGTTCTATTTAGCAGCGTTTACAAGTGAAAAAAGCTGTTCTTATTTTAAATGTACGTCATGAGATTCTTTATGAATTTACCTATGTCATTGGTAATGCTTTCTCTATTGTTTTGTAAAGCACTGTGAGTTGCGCTGTGTCTGAATAATTATTCAAATAACGTTGCCTAAAAAATAAATTAAAAAATGAGTAAAAAGGATGCGTTGACCAGCAGCAGACTGTTCAGGGAGAGCATCAGTGTGACCTGCTTTGAACTGCAGCGCTCACACCCAGTGCTTCACATGTGCACACTGCAGTATTCTTTGGTGGCTCCTCTCCGCACAGCACCTGCCCCTGTTGGCTCATCTTCCCTCTCACACTCTCATCAACATCCCACTCCTCATTTCATCATTTGCCTTTGATTATCCATCCCGTTTCCGACCCTCTTTTGCCTCAGTTTTATGCAAGCTGCTGCATCTGAACACTGCACTGGTTGTGAGCAAAACTGGTCCATGTCAAATTGAAGACCCGGAGCCTCAATGACAGAGGACAGAGGACATCTGCTGGGTATCATTACAACACAACGGCCGGGAAAGACTGGTCAAGTTAATGTGGTTTGAACTTCAGAGAACACGCTGCTTTGATGTACGGTTTGGGGCTGTCTAAAACAGTGTTTTTCAACCTTTTTTGAGCCAAGGCACACTTTTTTCACTGAAAAAATCTTGCGGCACACCTCCAGGAGAAAATGTAAAAATGTATACAGTACTAATGTAAAAATATATACTGTACATACTCTGTGTGATATATAAAGTATATCTTATCTTATCTTATAATGTATACAGTATACTCTGTAGCCTATATTCACAATATACAGTTATTCTCATCAAAATGCTTAAGTCCAGGCCTTGACATTAAGCTTTATTTAACATTTCTCGATACAATTAACAAGAGTTTGGTAATAAAGTGGCACTAACTGTGTGGAAAAAAACTAAGAAAATCCACTCTCTGCCCAAATAGTCAAATAATAACTCACACAAAGAACATGCATTGTTAGTGCATGGGAAAAATTTAGGTATCCGAGCTTTAAATTCAGGAGTTTTGGATGAGGGACACGGGAGGTCCTGAACGCGAGTCCATGGTTCTGTCCGGTCCGCATGTCTGTGGTTCTGTCCGGTCCGCATGTCTATGGTTCTGTCCACTCGACTATGGTCTGCGCTCGGTACCCAGTTCAGAAGTGCGTTCGCGATTGTACATTTCATAGTTAAACCACTACAACGCGGCCACAGCTGCCCCGGGGCAGAGCGGAGGATGTTAATCCTGTTCAGAAACGGCATAATTCATTTTCAAAAACGTCTCTATCACTTTCACTTCTCACTCGCCACAAAGCTCTTGTCTCGCTCCCTCCCACATTTGTTGGTCGCATCCAATTTTACCTTTCTCGCCACAATGCTGACCTGTAGCCAGTGGTCGCATCCAATTTTTCAGTTTCAAAGTACTTAGCTATCTGCTGCCATCTACTGATTTGAAAAAGTATTACATGGTTACTCCACAGTTCAAAACAAGTCACCGCTCGTCAACAGCGAATGCAGTTATTTTTAGACAAAGTAGACGAATTTCTCACGGCACACCAGACAATATCATACGGCACACTAGTGTGCCGCGGCACAGTGGTTGAAAAACACTGGTCTAAAACATGTGGGGCAATCGCAATACACATAAGAAAATCCCATTCACATTACATTCTTTAAAAATTAGTACTTGTATATTGTGTACATTAAAACAAGCAAACACACACATTTAAGAATCACAACCAATTCATTCAGCCAATGTGTTGGGACATCTTATTCATACTTTGTCCTATTTTTAACAGCAGGAGAGTAGGATGCAGAAAAAGATTTTCCCACAGAAACCAAATTCCTTATGACTGACCCCACTTTACTCTCCCCCCATTTCCGCCAGAGCGAGGAAACCAGCCAGAGCCCAGTCATTGATCAACATACTGAATATCGACCTCTGCAGCAGAAATGTACAAAAGAAAAACAGACTACATTTCATTGAGCGACAAGTGCACAGATCCCACCATGCATACTAAGAGTGGTGCAGGGAGTCGTGCAGGTTACCATGACGATGACTGTCAGCGGAGAGGTGGTAGTCGCGCTGTACGCTTCTAGAGTAGGTGTGGCAGCGTCCAATGACATCTGGTCGTGTCGCACGCACATGTGTCCACAGTCTGGCCCTCCCACTGAGCGCAGCAGCAGCACGGCACTGGCAGAACAACCCATGTCCACAGCCCCTAAAGCAGCTCTACTCCCGGACCAGAGGGGGTTTTACTGTACGGAGCATATGGTGTTTCAGTCTAGCCCTTGGTTTCCATCTTGTGCTACTCTGCTGCACTGCTACAGTCAGTGGCGGGGTCTTCCAGCCAGGCAGCCGGTCCCTCTCTCTTTCCTCTCTCACACACACAGTGACTGCAGATGTGAGCGGTTCAGCCCAGCTCTCCAACAAATCACCGTCTGCAGTGGCTGTCAGCTGACCAGAACCAGCTGCAGCGCACACTCACACATCAGGACTTTTGCTGATTTTCATTTTGCACCACTTTCTCAATCCATTTAACTGAATCACTCACACAAGCACTTAAGTGTGTGCAATAGCGTGAGAGTCTATGAAAAAAAGGACCAAGAGCATAAACAGGATGTTATTTGTCCCAATAAGGAAGTGAGAAGTTGTCCAGACTTGGCTCTAAATCTAAAGATAGTTCTTGCATGGTAATACTGGACTCAGACCTAAATTTCAATAGCCACATAAAATCAATAACATCAACAGCTTTTTACCATCTGAAGAACATTGCCAAAGTTAGAAATATAGTGTCCAGGGCAGACTTGGAGATTCTTGTCCATGCATTTGTCTCCAGCAGGCTAGACTACTGCAATGGCCTGCTTACAGGTCTGTCCAAACAGACCTGTAAGCAGCTGCAGTACATCCAAAATGCAGCAGCTAGAGTCCTGACAGGAACCAGGAAGTATGACCATATTAGTCCGGTCCTCAGGTCTCTGCACTGGCTTCCTGTGGCTCAAAGAATAGATTTTAAAACGGCTCTGCTTGTGTACAAGTCTCTCCATGGCCTTGCACCAGAATACATTAGTGACATGTTGGTGTCATATGAACCAGCCCGGACTCTGAGGAGCACAGGGACTGGCCTCCTGCTGGTGCCCAGAGTGAGAACCAAACATGGGGAGGCTGCGTTTCAGATCCATGCAGCTAAGATCTGGAACAATCTCCCTGAAAATGTGAGGGAGGCGTCTACTCTGTCAATGTTCAAATCCAGGTTAAAGACTGTTCTGTTTGCCTGTGCATACAACTGAAGGATTTTATCTCCATTTTTAATGCACTGCTGTCATTTATTTATTTATTTAAATTTCTTGTGTAATTTTGAAAGTTTTAATGGTTTTATTCTTTTGTGTGATTTTAATGTTTTAATTGTGTTTTAATCTTTTGTGTGATTTTAATGTTTTAATTGTGATTCTGGTGTTTGTTTTATGTGATGATTTGTGATGTGGACTGTGAAGCGCTTTGTGTTGCCATGTGTATGAAAGGCGCTCTACAAATAAACTTTGATTGATTGATTGATTGATAATACCTGGACTTAGTTGGACTGGTTGATATGACACAGCATAACCCTACATTTCCATCTTATATTAATTGTGATTTTTTTTCATCAAGCAAACATTTTGGTAAGAAAAAATAAATAAACAGTACAGTTACAAGCAGTGTAACATGAAGAATATGACTTATCATCTTTCGTAAGTCATTTTGTAACAGTTATTGAAAAGGGAGTAAAAGCTGGTCAAGGCTCAAAAGATATCTTCCCTGAATCACAAATTCCTAAATAAATAACAGAAACGATGAAAGTGAATGGTTTATGTACAACTGCAGACCCATTGAAACAAAACATCTTCATGAACAAAAGCAGTAGGACCATGTTACAGACTAGAGGCTGCCAGCGCGGTGTCTGTCTCCTGGGAGCATATGTGAGGCTTTTGAGTGTAGGAGGGGAGTGGCTGGATGTTCATGTGCATGCAGGGTTAGGGGGTAGAGCCTTCATGAGAAATTCCCTCTGACTCTGGTTCAATGCTCTGTGAGGAGAGCGACATATTCCATTACATCACTGTTGATCTGCGGCTTTGGCCCATCCATTACTTTCACTGCACTTTCAACATGTTCAAGTCCAATTCAGGTAAAATGATATTATAATCTAATCACATGTTCTAAAGAATTTTAAGTATTTTAAGTAACAGTGTTGACGATAAAAAATAACGACTCTAAATGGCGTCTAAGAATTATGAGATTATAAAATTCTAATGCAAATGGCCTTAAATGTGAACCACATGTAAAAAAACCACTGAAAAAGCAGTATACACACATTCTCAAGAATGTTGAGATGAATTCACATGAGCGCAATGTACTTTCTATATGAGGAGCTTAAATCATAAATTGAAATGTGTCATTGCGAGTGTGTCTTAGATAATTGCCATGTATGTGTATGTGTTTATGCTGCTAAACTGTGCAAAACAAATTTCGGACTTGTGTGTCTGACAATACTTATCTATTTCTGTTTCCAAATGATTGAAAACGCTTCATTCCTACTTCAGTAGATCTAGCTCAAACTTGTATTTTCAGTTTCCAAATGATTCATAAAGCTTAATTCCAACTCTAAAACACATCTAAGTCTAATTCTTAAAATTCATAATTGTTATTTACGTGACCATGGCTAAAACTTGGCTTTGACCACAATGAAGCAGAAACAATTAGAATCAACATCTTTTGATCTTTAGTCACACCAACATTAGGGGTGGGAACCTCAGGGTACCTCACGATATGATACGATACGCGATACAAAGCTCACAATAACAATTATATCACGATAACTACTATATCACGATAACGATTATATCACAATATGGCGATTATCGACATATTGGTCAGAAATATACCATATTCCAATTTATGGCATAAATAAAAGAAAAATGTGAAGTGAAAAAATACACTTTACTTCATGATAAATGGAATGGAGATGCGTAATGTAGTCATATATTAAGAATTGATACTAATTAAACAATTTTTGTTGTGAAAAAAAAAAAAGTTTATATTTTTTCCAAAATTGATAATTGTCGGTACTTATTTTCCGATAATGACCTGCGTAATATACGTTATCCGGCTTATTATACGGCTTTATACCAACAGAACACACAACATAAACTTCAGTCCACTTTTAGGAATGCCGAAAGGTTTATTTAATGACAGAAAATAAAATAGTTCCCAAAGGCTTTCCCGTGGCTATGCTAGCAACAGTTAGGCTGGCAACTTCCAAACTAGAACTCTCTGGAACTGCATGAAAACTGAACAAAGAATTCTGAACATCAGCAGTGAGTGACCCATACATAAACCTAACCTAAATCCATAATTCGATCCTCTGCAAATGTGTCCGAAAATGTGCCGGTATCTACTTCCGGGTTTTTCGGGATCGCCTTTTCTCGCATTACATCAGTGTTTTTGTCATGAAAACGTAAACAGAAAATTCTGAAAACTTCCGTGCACTTGTATTAAGACTGGATGTGTATAAATTACTCTCCGATTAACATTTCATTGCGTTGATTGATTGGCATTTGCGTTTATTGAGCGCCCGGAACTACTTCCGGGTTTTTCACGATCGCTTTTTGACGCGGAGAAATAGTATTTTTGTCATGAAGACAAGACCAGAAAATTCTGAAAAGTTCCGTGCACGTGTGTGAAGAATGTATATGTATAAGTATTCTCCGGTTAACATTTAAGTGTGTTGATTGAGCTTGGCTAGCTTCGGAGTGGCCGGAACTACTTGCGGAGTTATCCACGCATTTGAAAGACAAGCAGAGTGCGCGTTGCCATGGGCAGCGGTCAATATTGTTCTACAGGTCCGTTATAAAAAATAATGACCGGTAGAACGTTTTGAAATTACATTTAAATCAATGGAGCATTCTACTGCTGCTGTGAGGAGCTGTATAATAAATATCGATAATCGATCTTGGGAGAAAGTATCACGATATATATCGCTATATCGTCACACTCCTAACCAACATAGAGGCCAAGTGCAAACACTGAGCTCCCTGTGTGGACGTCACCATGGTGATGTAGCCAGGTCATCATTAGGGTCATTAGTGTCCATGTCAGTGTCCCCCACAGTCCAACCCACCACCTCTGCAACTGCTCATCATTATAACACTTAAACACAGCTAAATATAAGCATCCCGCAATGAGGTGCAGTAAATGTACATAATAGACCCACCCCCATTCCTCTCCCACAAAGACGCTAAACCTTATAGTGACACTGAGTACAGCGTTTAAGTAAACTCCGCCCACTACCACCCTGTTATCAAATGCCACGGGTTCTTATAGGGCCCTTTAGTGCAACGTGTTTGATCCTAGCAGCTAAAACACACAGACGGAGCCACAGAGACGAGCTTTGTTGAACTGCCAGAAACACCACAACAGTCCGATCATGCAAAAATGCCCACACAAACATGCCCAGCAGATGCCAGTTGTCCCCATGCTATCAACTTGTATAGCTCTCATTCACTCAGGTCCAAACAAGACATCATCACTACAGGCTGTGGATTGATACTCACCCAGTCTCTTTATACACTGAAATTGGAGACAAAAATGTGCACGAACCAACATAAGGGTACTTGCTGACCTTCTGATGCAATTACAAGGTTTATTAAAAATCTTAATTTCAAGGGAGCAAGAGAAATGCAAAACTCTGTCCCTCAATAACATACATCTATCATCATCTCAGACAAGCTACCCTTTTGCTTTCACTTGAAAAAACTCACCTTCATTCAAGGCAAGGCAAGGAAAGTTAAATGTAAATGTATAGCACAATTCATTCAAAAGGCAACTCAAAGTGCTGAACTTCAAAACCCCAACTTCCTATCTTGGCTTATCTTCACAAAACATGTAATTATCATTATCATCAGCCAGCCATAAACTACAGACCCTAATTTGATGTGCGTTCATAGACCCTAGTGTGAATCTGGAGAGAATGACATCACTGGGGTGTACATGGCAAAGCTTCGCCATGATTTGTTGAGCTAATGTCTTCCAGCTGTTCAGCCTCAGTCCATGTAATGCTCATGTTGGACTCAAACCTTCTCTGTGAACTTTGCTGATGGCGACAGGATGGTGGTAGTTGGGTATAAATGATTCTGCAAATGATTCAGTTGAGAGGACAATGTTGCACAAACCAGTT